AAAAGAATCTTTCTTACTTTGCAGTAAAGTTCAAAGTTGTATATTAAAAGTGGTATGTGCCTAGCTTTTATAATGTGTTAGTGAAACTGGTTGCTATGTTTGTATTTAAGTTGCGATAATATTAACACATATTTTATTAATTTAAGTGGCAAGGTACATTATTATCTCAAGTGCATTGGCCGTCGTTTTACTTTTATTTTTTAACATTAAGCTGGCAAACAGGTATACGGTATGAAAAGCAGTTGTTGTATCAGAGCTTTCATAAAAAAATCGTAATGTACAAGTTTACTCCAGATTTTAAACTTTTTACTTATATCTATGGAAAGCTATAGTCACCGATTTGATTTTGCCTAAGCTTTGTCAAGTTTTCGTTAGGATGTTATTCTCAGGTAATGGAAAAAATCTAATTGTGGGCAAGGAACACATTCACTCAATAGAGGAATCCGTTGCTTAGTAGTTCTCTATCATTATGTTGAAGATTGTGTCTGATTGTAGTGTTCTCAGAGAAATCAATGCTATTTTGTCTATACGTTTTCCATATAAATATAATAAGTAATATACTAAAATATAGTAGGTAAGTATGATATTAGTTTCGGTATTACAGTCACGAATGAATTGATTCGATTTGTTTTATTATTAAACAATGTGTCCGAGTTAGGTAATTTGTGAGACAGGAATGTGGTTTCCGTAACACAAGCAACAATATACATATAAATAGGACAAAGATAAGATTAAATATATGCTGAATGTGTTATATCGGTTTGCACATTACACAAACTGCTGAAATTCTACGATAAAAAAGTGAATATAATTTAAAGAGAAACAAGTAAGTAATATTTTAAATATAACCCCGAGAAGCTGCTAGCGTGACTGTTGTGGGCCATCAGATGGTCTAGGCCATCAGGATGAGATGTCAGATGTATTTACACATGATATGCGACTACTGTAAGTTAGCAGGCTTGCTTATTTATTAAAGGCATAAACTATAACAAGAGCCCTTTCTCTCTACTTTTCCTGTCAATTTTGACTGCACGGATGGCGTAGTGGTTTAAGCAGTCACCTCGCCGCTTCCTACTGCGCTGAGTGTTGTAAGACCGATCTCCATATGGGACAACACTTGGTTTATTATTTATTTATTTATTATATTATTTATTTATGTATGTTTGTAAAGTCCCCCGCGACACAGGATATATTCCTACTGCAGGAGTTGTCTTTTTGTAAAGCAAATTTGCGTCATCAAATACTGTGTGTGTACAATGAAATAAATATAAAGCAATTATTTAAGCTTAATGGCACATTAACATTGACACATCTGAGCTGACCTAGGCAACTTGGCCCAATTTTATTGTGCCACTTTTTGACGGTATTTAGTATCTATTATATAACCTATTTATACACTATCTTTTTTACTATTTAACTGATAGATAATATAATTTGTGTTGAAACTGAAGCTAAAACTGCCTTCACTTTTAGGGTGGAACAATGATAGCCAGCTGTATTATTCTGATAATATGCTTGAGTCCTGCGAAATATCGCCTGTGCTTTATTGTGGTGTCTTATTTATGGGAATATAGAGATATCTAGTTTCAATTTCCATAAAAATTAAACAAAAATATTTACCAGTGAAACTTAAAGCTGCTTGTTAGTAGTATGTATCAAAAATGTTTCTACGTTTAGAGCGGTTTCGCACTACGTTCGATCAAAATCAGATTCGGATTCGTGAAAATACATCCGATTTCTTTCAGTTATCCGTGAATCTCCATTCCGGACTAAATTATTGAAGGACCAAAGTAGTCGTACTATTTTTTGTATGAACGCACCCAGAATTCTTTACTTCTTTTGTCGTTCGTACGTACAATATATACAGCATTGCCAGAAGTTGACACCGATCAGAAGGACTCGTGATCAACGACGTAAACGCTCTGCTTTCTAAAACCGCAGTCTCTGATCAGAAATAGAAGGTAGTGTGCAAAGCAATATCCCAATTGTAAGCCGATAAAAAGCCAATAATAAGCCCGAGATTTCTAGATCCGTACTTTCACGGGTTCTGATCGGATTCGGACGTAGTGCGAAACTGCTTTTAGGGGCTTCCCTGCTAATATAATAAATTTGATTGTGCTATTTTCTAGAACTTACTTGGATTTGAAATCTTTTTTCTGGCATTTGATAGACCAAGGCATGATCAGAGTTATAGATTATTACATAACTCATAAAGCTAAGGATCCCGAAATCGGAGCAATAGTCATAAACTGCTGAAACTACGTTGAATAGTTACTAGAAATGTTTAAAACGGGCCGCGGTCACTATTGTTATACCCAGCCATTTAAAGTAGTAGACAAAACACTGAGCAAGATAATAAATACGTTATTTTATAGACCAATTAGCGCAGGTAAGGATCCTTCCCACAGACCTATCTACATATCTGTCTCCCACTGGGACCGCCCTCTAAAGTTACGTTACTCTGTACTAGTAAGAGGTAAATCCGACGCTAACAGCTGCCACGAAAAAGACCGGTAAAACAATCACATGTAAAATCGGGTCAAATAATATCACATAAGGTTAAAATTCGCTATTAAATCCACAAAAGGTTTTTTATGGCAGTATAATATTTTAACTCTGTACTTCCCTAATCGGCATAAATGCTTGGCACTTGGTCCCTATATTACGTTAATGATATAACATTATAAACTAACAAAGCTGGCTGTTAACATTCAACAAAAAATATTGAAACACATTAATATTACAAGAACACACGAACATAATTTTTTACAAGACTAAATGCCCGGCTCTCATTTTACGGTTACTGCCCTGTTCCTAAGTTTTATTGTTTTGTAATAATCGCCAGTCTATAATCTTTCTTAATAAAAGTTCTATCTTAGGCTCCGATCAAATAGAGAACATAAGTAATTAATTATTGTTAGTAGATCTTTTATTGACCATTTCTTAGAAGTTCTAAAATTAAATATAATTTAGTAAATCATGTATGATATAAATGTTCAAGAGATGAAGCTAAAATTAAAACAAATGCATCGAAATAAAAAAGGATAAAAGTTATTACACTATTTAAAAAATTTGCTAAAACAAAGAATGTGAAGTGACTTGTAGCCTTTCTTATGGGGTTTAGTGAAGTGTTTACCTAATTATTCAACTCTCTGTTATTAGCTAACATGAAATTTAGATAATCATTGTTGGCGATAAATACTGGTATTATCCACTCGACATCTGACCTAGATAGGAGATGTGATTACACGGAAAATCGTACACATTCAATTTTCCTCGCAATCGCACAGACGGCCAATGAACTCCATATATTTCCACTTTTACCGATCTATCTATATCAAATTAAACAAATCTTGGATATTATAACAAAGAAGTTCTTTCAATTGCTTCCACGCGATATGGATTCTGAATGCCTCTTGAGAATTTGAGTCTAAAGTAAGATTCGGAACGATGCTCTTAAAACCATAATGTATTTTTATTACCTACCACTAAGATGTGACCGTTATGTCTCAAAAATTAAGTGATAGCTGTTGATACCAATTGTGGCAAAAGAACCTAATGCTTGAGATATCAACTTCAGCATAATTTTTCATTCTGTTTAGTCTTGCAGAACTTAAAACAGGATCGTAAGTTGGGATTTGTTGCTCTAATACTGTCTTGTGCTCTCAGAAAAAATATAATTTATTAACGTATTATAGCCATATCGTTATACGTATTATAGATGAATAAACACAAAACATAACTTGCTTATTTTGTGGCTATGAATGATAAATTATGACAATAAAGTATGAATTGATATACACAATAATCTTATACATATATATTTATCAGTAGTAAATGTGAAATCTTAAGCAGTATTACAGTAATAATCCTTTGGCTATTAAAATATTAGTGTTTAATTTTGATAAACAGCAGAAAGAGCGCAATGTTTATTTCCAAGTCGGTTCTTCTTATTCTACTAGAAATTTAAATTAAAAAATTGTCAAAAAAATATTTGTCTCACTTTAAATTGTGACCCATTATATATTTCTAAAAATAATTATTCGTATCTTGTATCGTAATGTCTACCAGATTATAGTAAACTACTTAGAGCAGAGCATAGGCTTGTAAGGCATCGAAGGGTATCCACATCCCAATACAAGCCCACACAATTGATAAACTTTTTAGTGTATACTTTTGTGCCGTTTATTTATTATTATTTCATTTCAAATCCAACGACGTTAATAACAGGGTGCATAACAAATACAGAATTATGTTTATGACCGTTGTTGTATATATGTAGGCATTGTTCGGACTTATACGGGCCGCAACTATCTGCTATTGTTCTCCGCGACAATACTACTATCATCATCATTTAGATTTTAAGTCTCTTGAAAAGCACACAGAGCGCTTTTCGAGACAATTTATCTGGTACTATCTGGTAACCGCGACTTTGTTAATGTGGAATTTGAAAAGCACTTCCTTAGTGGGCTCCATACCCGGATCGGGCAAAATTTCAACGGGTTTTTCTGAGACATACAAAAGAATAATTAAACTGGTTTTTAGGCCGAGGCAAATAACCATGTGAGCATGAAAAAAACTATTATTTTAACATTATAAACAGACACTTCAATTTTATTTATGTGCATAGATATTAAATCAGAGGAACAAATCGTCTGTTCCTATTAAGGAGTTCGGATATGAAAATTAAGCAATTTTAAACTTTCACGCACTCTCCTGTAAAATTGCTGATTTGCAGATCCTACATTCTTGATAGGGATTCTTAAAAATTCAGTTAACAGTATCACGGTTAACACTTATACTACACCATTATGTTTACTATGATTATTGACATGCAAGAGATGAAATGCAATTCGTAGTAAACATCCATATTTTGCCAACTTTATTTTAGTAACACTTACGTAAAGGTCACATGACTCTGTTTCTAGCGTTTGCCCAAAAATCCCAGCATTCTACAACTATAAGTAACAGCACTAAATATTAATTTCACCTTGTTACAGGTCTTAGCGCACACCCTTCAAGGTCTCGGCCAAGATGAAGGCATGTACCAGCAGTACATTCCACTCGCGCTACACCTGGCCGACGATTTTTTTCTTACACACCCTTCCAGAGATGTACAGCTGCTCATCGCGTGCTGCATCGCTGATGTGCTCAGGGTTTATGCCCCAGAAGCACCATACAAAGATCAGGAACAGGTAATGAATGATAAAATTGATATGGTATTCGGAGAGATTTAGATAATTATACAATCTGTGGCAATCTTAACGTGATAGGTTTATTGCGTTTTTATCCTAAAGCCACCCGCCAGTTTTTACCCAAAATTTATTGAATTAAACCCAGAGAAAAAAACTGAGTATCAATAACTAAAGTAACTAAACATTCAATAAGAAGTGTATAGTTTCTAAACCTAGTTCATGGTACTTAAATAATAAATATTCATTTCTTAATTATATTGAAGTGATTCGGATAAAAGTGAACCTTTGAAATATTACCTTTTTAATTTATTTGTCGTTCTTTAATATAAAATCTATTTCTGAACATTATAAGTTGTACACAATTTCGCTAAACGATTAAAAGCTTGATGTTTACTTCATGTTTATGATATAAGCGGGAAACTTGAGTAATCTGAGTACTGACGGGAATACTTGCAAAGTTTAATTGGCTGTCTCAAGTTGCTGCTGTCGATAAACTTTATATGTATGAGGGGTGCTCAGGATTCTGACTGATTATTTTTTGTTTATTTTTATTAGAAAAAGCTTGAAATATTCTCAAAGAAGATGGGATTCCTTTAGTAAATTCCTTATAACACAGGTGTTTACACATATCGTATACATTTAAGACTTGTTATAAGTCTTAAATGTATACGATTGTTCTTGTTCTTATTTTTATAATGCAATACTGAGTATAGCAACGCATTTATAGCAGCCTGGCTATTAGAGAGTGAGTGGTGGTTACTCACCTTTTTACTTAAAAAAAAATGTAGTCATCATTTTAAGGATGCAATAATATAATAAATAAATAATGCCTAATTATTTACATAATATAATCACGAGAAGCCTTTTCAAGGTTTCCTCATCTCTACTTCTATATTTGAATAGATTAATTTGTCATTGACGGGGCTTGGGTAAGTAAGTAAGTGGTTAATGATCCTTACTACTAATCCAGAGGTCATGGGTTCGATCCCACTTATGACAAAAAATTGTCTGATGAGCATTATCATTTGTTCTGTTACTGTAATTGTTGTAATTTGTATATAATATATATATATATAGATATATATATATATATATATATATATATGCATTTAGTAATATTACTTTTTACTAAAGTACAGGCTCTGTCGTGTTTGGGATTACATTTGAAATTAGTATAAAGAATGTATGGAAAATAAATTTGCGTTTTTTCAGGTCAAAACCATATTTTTGTTCCTGATCAACCAGTTATACGGTCTTCGAGATCCGAAAGACCCTGCGTTCAAGCGCTACTTTTATCTACTAGAGAACCTTGCTTACGTCAAATCATTTAACATGTGTTTCGAGTTAGAAGACTGTCAGGAGATCTTCTGCGCACTGTTTTCTCTCATGTTCAAGATTGTCAAGTGAGTGTGTTATTTAGAACAAATTTATGTTACCAGTGACTTGGCAGAAATTAATATACATCATAATATACATTATAACGTAGTGTAGGACACCCGCAGGCCTGCCCTCCGTCACCGTCAGAACAAATTACGTGGTCCGACGACTTCGACGTGACGGAGGAAGAGCTGGACCGAGCCGTGAAACGTCTCGCTGCCCGCAACACCGCCCCGGGCCCTGATGGGATTCCGGGTCGAGCATGGGTGTGCGCTTTGGCGGTTCTAGGGAATAGGCTGAGGCGGCTGTTTACCAGCTGCCTCCGTAATAGCATATTCCCTTCCAGCTGGAAGGAAGCCAGGCTGGTTCTTATCCAGAAACCTGGCAGGGCTGCAGATTCTCCCTCGGCGTTCCGACCGATATGCCTGCTGGACGAGGCGGCGAAACTCTTCGAAAGAGTTATTGCCGCCCGTATCAACCAGCACCTGTCGCGAGTAGGCCCTGACTTATCAGACAACCAATTTGGCTTCCGTCAGGGACGATCGACGCTAGACGCGATCGAACGCGTCCGCTCCTTGTCGGATGAGGTTGTCTGTCGGGGGGGAGTGGCGTTGGCCGTCAGTCTTGACATAGTCAACGCCTTTAACTCCCTCCCGTGGTGGGCGATTAGGGAGGCACTGGTGTATCACCAGTTGCCCCCGTACCTGCGAGACATCATCGGGGTTTATCTCCGCGACAGGTCCATATCGTATATGGGTCGGGACGGCGAAGATTGCCGAAGGGAGGTCACATGCGGGGTTCCCCAGGGGTCAGTCTTAGGACCACTTCTGTGGAACCTCGCGTATGATGCCGTTCTGAGGACCAGCCTTCCCCCAGGATTGAGTGTCGTCTGCTATGCGGACGACACTCTGGTACTGGCTGGGGGGCATGGCTTCCAGGAGGTCCTAGAGCTCGCCGAGTCAGGGGTGGCTTGTGTCGTCCAAAAGATCAGCGGTCTGGGTCTAACGGTTGCACCTCATAAGACGGAAGCCCTGTGGTTCCATAGGAAACGCAGAGGTGCAGTTCCCACCCGCTCGATTATCAGAGTGGGGGGAACAGAGGTCGAGGTCGGTCGGTACATCAAATACCTCGGCCTCACCCTGGACAGCCGTTGGAGCTTCGAGGAGCATTTCGAGCGGTTGATCCCCCGAGTTCGCGGGGTGGCGGGCTCCCTACAGAGGCTATTGCCTAATCTGGGGGGTCCGCAGGAGGAAGTTCGCCGCCTCTACTGTGCGGTGATACGATCCATGGCCCTCTACGGAGCGCCGATATGGGCAAAGCGCTTATCGGCCTCCTCCCGCTGCCGAGCTAAGCTCAATCAAGCGCAGCGGGTAGCGGCCATTCGGATCGTACGGGGATACCGCACCATATCGTCGGAGGCGGCGACAGTCCTGGCACGTTTCCCGCCTTTTGATATCCTGGCGGATATGGACGCTAGGGTCTACGACCAGACTCGCGCGATCCGCCTGGGTGAGAGCAGGAACGACCAGGACGAGCTCGAAATGCGGCGAAACGCTCACCGACAGGCCCTGGCGCAGTGGCGCGCGCGGTTGGAACAGCCGCGGAATGCGCGCCAACGTGCTGTCGGTGCCGTTTTGCCTAACCTCGAAGCTTGGGTAGGAAGGGAGGGAGGTCGCGTCACCTACCGACTGACGCAGGTGCTCACTGGGCATGGCTGCTTCGGTGAGTACCTGAATCGGATTGGACGCGAGGAGACGGCACAATGCCAGCACTGCGCAGCCGACTGGGACTCCGCCCAGCACACGCTGGAAGACTGCCCCGCGTGGGCATCTGAACGCGAAGTCCTGGTCGATGAAATCGGACGAGACTTGTCCCCGCCAGCAATCTTCTGTAATCGCCTCTTTCTGTGAAGCTGTAATGCTCCAGAAAGAGACCGCTGAACGGGATCGGGAGAGGGCCGATCCCGAGCGAAGAAGACGTCGACGACGTAATGAGCAGCCGACGGGACCGCGGGCCGCCAGAGAGTGGGGACCTCTGGTGGCAGATTAATTGCTGCGGTAGGGGAAAGGATGGCAGCCTGATCGCACTGAAAATGTGATCGGGCTGCAACATCTGGATAGGCTGAGAGGCAGGGAGAAGCCACTGGCTTTCCCTGAGATGGGACCTAGCTAGGTGCGGCGTCGATCTGGGGGACCTGAAATCACATGGCCCGGGTTCTCCCCAGAGCAGGGCGCCTAAGGCTGGCCGTCGGAGTGGTTTTTAGTGGAATCACCACATACTCCTGGCTCCTATATCCCCAAGGAGCCGGAGATCCGAAAGGATTTTCCACTCCGTCAACAAAAAAAAAAAAAAAAAAAGGACACCCGCAGGCCAGATGGAATGGCAGGAGCTGGATGCGAGAAGCCCAAAATCTAAGTGGCGTGCTATGTCCAACAGTGGATTGCGATAGGCCGATGATGATGATAGTTAGGGTTCCGTACCTCAAAAGGTAAAAAAGGAACCCTTATAAGATCACTCTTGTCGGTCTATCCGTGTGTTACCACCGATTTTCTCGAACGGGTGGACCTAGCCAGTTGAAATTTACACCAGATTCTGAGGTCTATAGTCCCTTTAAGGTGTATAAAAATCAAGGTCCTGAGTCATCACGATAAAAACATATGGTCAAATTTAGTTTTTCGCGAAAACTTGTAAGTACCAAAATTTACCTTAATTTTGAAGTTTACTTTTTAACTTTTTTGTTTAATTTTTTGGAATTTACCCTCAATTTGTGCTGTAGGTCAACCGGAAGTACCCTATAGCTTTTGGGTCGAAAACCTATATGGTAGTTCCCGTTGACCAAGAATCACGAAATTTGGCAAAAAACAAGATAACCAGCACAAATAAAGGAAAAATTCCAAAAAATAAAAAAAAAGTTGAAAATTAAGGTAAATTTTGGTACTTACAAGTTTTCGCAGGGTAGTTTGTACATGGCATACAGGGTTGTGTGATATACTTTAATAAATTTATTATTACAATAGTTGAGCCATGCTTCGGCACAAATATAATATACAACGGTTTCACAGAAAACCGGTAGTAAGAATTTCATTCGTTGTTTTTCACCGAGTGAGTGAAGTTACAGGAGCTCCTCTGATTCTTGGGGGGTTCTACTCGTGATTCTTGAGTTGCTGGTGTCCATAGTTGTAGTCACTTAATCTTCAGGTGACCCGTCTCTACGTTACTTACCACCAGGGCCTCAATTCTGCTATTTTAATAATGTATCAGTAGACTGTCGATAGAATGTCGTTGGAATAGTTTTGCACTTTTCTTATTTTATTAACTATGTAAGACAAATGGCCTCCCGATGACTTGTCACTGATACAAGTGTCGTCGATGAGGAAATGAATTTAATGTTCATGATATGGCAAGGTTGTTGACAACACCATTGATAGACCTATATTACTATGTCGACAGTTTATTGACACTGAATTTATGTTAGTAGAATACCGATGTTTTGACCGATGTCAGTGGTATCTCAATAGCGTGTCAATGGAATGACAGTGGCTTGGCGTTAATATAAAATAGCAGAATTGAGGCCCAGGTGAACCATCTCCGAGTTTGCTGCCCCCCTAGAACATAAGAAATATGTAATAAATTATATTTTAATTATTGTCACCAAAAATGTATTACTTGATTGTTTCATAGACCCTGCATTTTAACTCATATTGTTAGAAATAGTCGGTCACTGGTGTCTTTAATCATAAGTAGTTAACCTTTTCGTTATTATAAATATATCTTGTATAATTTCTAGTACGGAACACTCCACCAAAGTCAAATGCTTCATGCTGGATGTTTTGTGTCCTCTGATCACGGAGTCAGACGTTGTGTCGAACGAGCTTCTGAACGTCATCTTAATGAACTTAGTGGAACCCAACAAACGGGACCACAAACATGCATACTCACTCGCTAAGGACCTTATAGTTAAAACCAGTGAGACGCTTGAGACTTACATACAGAACGTAAGTAATTGTTTTATATAGATCTAGAGCGCCTACACATAAAGGATTTCGGGACAACTCACGCTTTGTTTGAACCTGGTCGAAACGCCAGCCAGTTCAAAGAGCAGCATATTGTTGTGAGCTGAAGGCCAATTCTCGTTATAAAAGTTCAGTCTCAATTCAGTTCCGATCAACTTTCGATCTCACAACTGTCATAAAAAAAAAATTAGTAAAGTATTACTAAGACTAGCAGTAGGCCGATTCAATTTTCGGTGACAATACGATATAATCCAGCCAACGCTGGATGTTGAATACTTTACTATGAAAATACCTTTTATGACAGTTTTGAGATCGAAGGTTAAATTAAACTGAATTGAGACCTAACTAATTAATTGTAATAAACACAGTTATCAGCAATTAACAATAATTCTCACTGTTATTTGCTTGTGCTGTTCGCTATTATTGTTTACTCTCAATATAGTGGAACTAGAATGTCTTTATACTGTACCGCTGCCGGTGTTATAAAAAATATTTGTTACGTCATTGATCTTTTTTAACCCGAATCGCACTATGACACCGCTTGTCTAGTAAACAATTTCCATTAAGATTGTTTATTTTATTAACTGGAACTGTTTGTTATTCAATAATTGATTGATAGAATAATCGTTATTGGAAACTAAAACTACCTAAAGAAATTAATATAAATATTTTCAGTCTTTTTAAAAAGAAAATTTAGCGTGAGTAATTTTAGCCTTTAACACGTTAGGACTCGCTCATATAAAAAAGTTTTGCCTAGCTAATGTAACATTTTCCATTTCAGTTTTTCAATCATGTTTTAATCCTCGGCAAGGAAGAGGGCAAAGGTCTTCTAATATACACTAAAGTATACGAACTGATATATGAACTATATCAATGCTGCCCATCCATTTTACTGCAAACTCTTCCTCAATTGGAATGCAAATTAAAATCAGCTCAGTTCCAAGAGAGGCTAAGCGGGGTCGCCCTTCTCGCTAGAATGTTTTCTGAGCCCGGCTCACAACTTGCCAAGCAATATCCGACTTTATGGAGGGCTTTTCTGGGGCGTTTTAATGATATTTCAGTACCAATTAGAATCAAATGCGTTCAATATTGTATGCACTTCTTGGTACACCATCCAGATTTAAGGAAAGATATTACAGAAACACTAAAGCTTCGACAACACGATGCTCATGAACAAGTGCGTTATGAAGTCGTGATGGCCATCATAGCAACGGCACAAAGAGACTTTCAGGCCGTCGCAGAATCCGAGGACCTCCTACATTTCGTACGAGAAAGAACTTTAGACAAAAAATTCAAAATCCGCAAAGAGGCTATGTCGGGTCTAGCGTTAATATACAAGAAGTTCTTAACAGAAGAAAGCGTGCCACCGGCCACAGAAAAAGCAGTACAATGGATCAAAGACAAAATTCTTCACGGATATTACATGACAGCGTTAGAAGACCGCCTATTAGTAGAACGGTTGCTGAATACTTCTCTTGTTCCGTATACCTTGCCAGCCGCTATCCGTATGAAGAAGCTATTCTATTTAACGTCCAATGTTGATGATAATGCCACAAAAGCCTTCATAGAACTACAAAAACATCAGTTGGTAGTTCGTCGCACAGTTGCGGAATGGATCGAGCTACACAGGAAGCCTCCAACACCGGCAGTGCAAAAGGAAATGATAGCTAAGGTCTTACACATAAGTTCTAAATTCCTGCCCGAATCAGTGAAATCGCAGGAGTTCTTGAATAAGTTCTCTCAGCACATGAAACAAGCCCCCGAGTTGTTGCAAGGCATGGAGACTATTTTGAATCCTAATGTTAGTTGTGAAGTTTGCGTGCGCACAACTGTAAGTATTGAAAAACTGTGTTAACATGTTATCTATATTAGGCTTACACTACAGTTTTTAAAATATGATGAACCAATTTTTTTCATTTAAAAAATAACATAACAAGTTGTGTGATAACAAAATATTATGCAATTGGAAAATCGTTTACGATTTACTAAAGTGCAAAATACATTTAAAAAAAAAAATAGTGTTCTGTTTCTGAAATAGCCAAATTTCACGTTCATGGCATTTTTTTTCATGTTTTGACAGAAATTTGCAAAAAAAACGGCGTGAATAAATAGTTATCCTTACGTAAACATTTATAGTAAAATTACAAATACTTTGTATAATTGAAATTCAAAGAATATAATACTTTTAACACAATAACCGCTGGTTAATCTCCTACTCCTTTTTAAATTTTATATCCGTCTTGTTCCAGTCAAGCGTCTTGAAGAAACTGGGTCAGCCAGTCATGACCAATTTATACTACAACACCGTGAAGATGTTGTTGGAGCGAGTGAGCTCTGTAATGATTGACCATGATTCCCTCATTATACTTGTGGGATACGTGGAGGGAGCCGTCAAGGGGACAGACCCGTCTATTGCAGAAGAATGTGGTATGTGTTACTAGTTTAGCCCAACTCTAAATCTGGGTAACAACTAACCAGAGTTTTGTAACAAGAGCCAGATGCGCGTTTTAAATCTCAAACGCTTTTTGGAGTACCTTAAAGTCTAAGTGTTTGTGTGTAGATCTGTACTATATGTATATTGTATATTTGATTGATATTATTTCCGTGGCATCGTATAGCAACCATATAGTCTATGATGAAAAGTGGATGAAAGTCTAATGCCGCTTTCTACTTTTCACCACAGGATCTGACATATGTTGGAAATGTCCATGTTTCATTTTATTTAGATTGCTATTTCCTAGTTCCAAATGCCATATACATGTCTGTATATGTCTATTGATTTCATCACCGCTATTTTTTGTTGCTCTTCACCGAGTTTTAACCCCCGTCCACCCCTCCCCTGATTCTAACTCATCAACAGTCACTACTGATGATGAGTTAGAATCAGGGGAGGGGAGAAAAACTCGCTAGTTTTTCTCACAACTGAATCGTCACGGCAACCGCTTTCGCCGTCGCGATTGGTGAATAGTTCAGTACGGGCCTATCGCAGAGCCGAATGCAGTCACCATGACGACCGATTATATGTAAAACTAGCTGAGACCCGCGGTATTACCCGCGTTTGTTGTTATAACCGCGGGCAACGCCGCGGGGCGAAGCTAGTCTAAAAAAGTAAGCCTAAGTTACTCCTTATGTCATCAGCTATCTGCCAGTGTAAGTCCCGTCGAAATCGGTCCATCCGTTCCAGAGATTACCCGGAACAAACAGACAGACAAAAATTGTAAAAACAGTTATTTTGGCATATGTACCGTGTAAACATACATATGCATTTAGTAAAAAGCGGTTATGTTAATATTACAAACAGACACTACAATTTTATTTATTTGTATAGATAGATAAACTCACACTAGGCGCGCTCAGGTGACCTTTTTACTAGTTTGCCCCTCTATACCATAAAAAAATTCAATGACAATAAATTCACTACTTCGAATCGCATATATGTATAAACTCAACATGATGACATCCTCCATTTACGTGACTAAAAAAAAAACTTGGTATCTGTAACAGGTATAGACATAAAGAAAGCAGCGGAACGGGGTCTTAAACTTCTAGTAATGTTGTCGTTCGTGTTCCCCGCGCATTTCTTGCACGAGGATGTGTTGAACCGGCTCACGTCACTCCTGGAGTTGGATGACGAGACGGTAGCGCCGCACATTCTCGCCGCGCTCACTTTCCTTGGAAAATACAGACCTCTTAGTAAGTATTGTTTATGTTACTAGATATTTTAAAAGAATTCGTGAGTGAAGACGAATTCAGAGTTTGATAGAGCAGTGTTTGGCAATTTTCATTTTTTTAATAGTACGCAGTTGAGGTACAAAAAAGGACTAGGGTATTTTGCAATAAAGTAATAAATAAATGAAATATTAAAATAAAAATACATTATAGTTTATGATAATAAAACTATGTTTTACCTATGAGAACTGTAATTTTCTGATACTTATTAACTGTCTCCCAAAAAAACTATTTTCTCAATTCTCAAACACCAAGAGATGTAGTCACATCTGTGTTTGATCTTTCCATAGTGAATTTTTAATAAAAAAAAAAACAATTTTTAATTATGACTATTCTAAATTGATTAAACTCTTACAGGTGAGGCTTGCCCTGGACTATTCCCACGGCTGATTACATTATGTAAAGCGTATGCAGAGGTCGGCACACCTAAACAGGCGAAAAACGCAGTCAGGTAATATATTTTGTTTTGGTTTTATTTTAAATTTCAAATGTTCTCACAATTATTTTATTATTATTATTTTCAAAAGACAACCCCAAGGAATAAATCCTGTATCGCGGGGACTTACAAACATACATGAAACGGACACAAAGAGCATCCAGACTCAGAACAACAATTTGTAGATTACAAAGTGTTGTCCTATTAGGGGTTCGAGCCCACAACAACTCAGTAGGAAGCTCAAATCATTACGCCGTGCCGTCAATTTAAATAGTCAAAGGAATTGAATTCACTTTACAAGATTATTTAATTATTTGTTGTGATCTCAGGTGTCTGTTCGTGAACGTGCCTGAGCAGCGTACGCAGATCTTCACGGAGATCCTGGATACTCTGAAGGCTACGCTGAGCCCGCACTCCGAGCACTACCGCACCGCCATCGTCACGCTCGGACACATCGCGCACAACCTGCCCGATAACTTCCCCGTACACATTAAGAACATCGTGTCTAGAAAGGTGCCTATCGCTTTCAAATATTGTCCATTTTTGCCATTAATTTCTGTCTATAACCTATTCATATTTTATTGTTATTTTGAATTAAAATACTAATTCTTACAATTTACTTTTGCAGATTGTGAAAGAACTACTAGTCCGCGAAGGGGGCGGAGATACTCAATCACACGATGAGCCGTGGTGCCCTGAAGATCAGTTGCCAGAGGAAACTCGTTGTAAACTAGAAGGACTCAAATGCATGGCTCGATGGCTGCTCGGGCTGAAAAAGGATGAATTATCGGCACAGAAAACGTTCAGGATGTTGAACGCATTTATCGTACATAAAGGCGATTTACTACAGGTGTGTAATAAGTCTCTTATAATAAATAATTTTTATTTAAAAATATGATTTATAGACAAAAGAGATGCCATATTTACAGTTTGCTTGTATTCTTTTGGTATACAATATCACAATTTTTGTATTTATTTACAGCAAAATCGTTTATCAAAAGCTGAGATGGCACACTTAAGATTGGCTGCTGGCGCGGCTATGCTGAAGATCTGCGAACAGAAGGGCGTCGGAGATCAGTTCACTGCCGAGCAGTTCTACAATTTGTCGCATCTTATGATCGTATGTTTATTCAATTATTCTGTTACTACTTTCTGATTGTTTTCATCATTGGCAGGCTTGACTTAATATTTGACATATTTGCAGTTATTTGTTTTTTTCAACAAGTATTCGTTTATAAATCTTACTGCTTCAGGTTGCGGTCATAAGTCATGCATTTCATCTATTTGTTAACATATTAACTAATCTTAGGATTTAAAATATTTTAGTATTATTTTAAAGTATTAAGATAAAAATTATTTTTTGAAGTTCTTAGAAAAAAAAAACAATTTGTGCTGACAATACTTTAAATTTCAGGACGAAGTACCTCAAGTCAGAGAAGCATTCGCGACGAAATTACACAAAGGACTATCAAAGGTAATGACAATATACAATCTTAATAGTATCCTAATGCAACAATTTGTCTGGAAAATGGTAATCCTGTACTTGTGTGATAAGTAAACGGACACTCGATTGTGCTAAATCATTCGACAGTCTCATTTCAATAGAATGCGTCGAAAAGTCTAGTATACATAAAGCTGTCGTATTTTCGAAATACCACCGCTTTTAACACACGTTACACATGTTATATGTATTTGTTGTTGCTACGCCAGAGGTCGTGGGTTCGATTCCCACCCAGGACAAATAATGTGAGCACGGTCATTTTGTTCTGTGTCCAGTACTTTATCTATAATATGTATGTATTTAGATATATATATAACTATGTTTATCAGCAGTCTGGTTTCCATATACCGGCACGGATCTTGAGCGCTTGGTGGCAGAGTGGTGATCGCTTTGCGCATCGTGCACTTATGGCAAAATAAAATATATATATATTAATTAAATAAAATATATATTTATTTACTTCTTTAGTACTACTTAGTTAGAATAGAATAAAAATAGTCCAAACTTCTTATTAACTCTGTGGTTAAACTAAATGGTTTTAATTAAAAATTAAATAAAAAAAGTATAGGTGTTTAATTTTTAAGAAAATATATTTTCTTAATAAAATTATTACGGCGAAATAGGAGTGACATTTTCCATCAAATCACTTTCTTATATGAAGGTGGTACTGGTACGGTGGCCATTTATTCTTCATCGTTACTTCATTTATCGTGTTATAAGTACACATCAGAGAAAACATTACTACGCTGTCTAATACACTTACATAAAAGTCTCAATTTTTAACTACCAGAAAATGTAATCGATGACGAGCGAAAGGAGAAATTATTAATAATGAAAAGAAAGACCCATATTAATTTGCTCCGAAGTATAGTCGACGTTGTTAAGTACGAGAAAACTAATCACGTCTCAAAACTAGTCACTTCATACCATCAAAGCGCCCCAAATATAATATAATATATAATAATATTGTACGCAAATAAAACGATAATGGTGCGCAGGGTATCCCCAACAAGTGCCTGCCGCTGGACTTCATGGGCATGTACGCGCTGGCGGGCCGCGAGCCGGAGCGGCGCCTACGCTCGCTCGTGCGCCAGTACATGCTCGCCGACGTCGTGCGGCGCCGCGAGTACGTGCGGAACATCACCGTCGGCACCAAAGGTATTTGCGACCTCTCGTGTCTCGGATCATCACGAACAAATTCTACCTGGATTGAGGGCCCGTTCCGCACAACGATATTTCACCCCGCGTTGTTTCGCAAAATTCTGTGGAAATAGATCGCCTCTGTATCGCGTTCCTTTTGTATCAAATCACAGTTTTTTTTTTGCGCCAGTGCGGATAGTCCTATAGATTCCATGTGTCACAGAATTTTGCAAAAACATAAAAAGCGCGATATAATATCGCTATGCGGACGGGACCTATGTGCTACGACATTATACGCTTTTTGCAATAAGTACATATAAAACTTGGGTTGTTAGCAAGCAGAGCTACCGCACGAGCGAGGCCCTGAGCGGTTACCCTGCTTGCAACCTCCGAAGGCCGCCCCTAATATAATATACTACCGTACGAATAGCATTTTATTCGGCGGCTTTAATTATGATGAGGATCTAAAACCCACCCTCTTAAAAGATACAACTCTACATCGTCTCAAACTATAAGTTGTGCGTTAAACAGGGAGGGACCATCGTGTGATCTTAATTACACTTTATTATATCGGAATCAAATCTATCTCAGAGGAACTTCTGTACCAGTACCTGTATAATGTATTCTGTGGTCGAAGGTAGAAAGCCGTGAGTTTATATAATGATATTGTTACAGTGGAGCGCGCCGTGAGTCAACTCCCGCACATCCTGCCCGACTACATGTTGGTGTTCGCCGTGCCGATACTTACCCACGACCCCGCTTTCACGGCATACGACAATGTTGCACAACTTAAGGTAAATGCACATTAATCAAAGGTAACAATATTTGTTGAACTATGATTGGGAATGGTAGTATGTGACATGGCAAATTATGTAAGAACGCAGGTTTCTTACACTACATGCAACTTTATGAGTTAGTATTTTAATTTTGTTAAAAATTTGATTTTACATAAGCTATAAATTTAATTTTATATTTAATATTTTTGACAGTAACTTCTGCTCAGTAATGCTGTCTTGACAGAAATAACGCTAATTAAAAAATAACTTTTTATATTTACATATGTTATGGCATCTTAAATGTATTATAATATTTCAATCCCTTCTCATAGTTTAATACGCCTTTATGATCTTCTACGACTAGTGAGTGTTTTTGTGAAGCAAGCTATCTATCGTAGAAATATTTTGAGATTAGTGTGTTTAAACAGACAATACGATTTTTTATTACAGGTGGTGAAGAACTGCTTATGGTTCATCTTGGAGCCACTGATCACCCGCAACGATTTCTACTGTTACGGCTTCTACAAGAGTTTAGTCGAGCGCATGAAACAGCATAAAGATGCGCTCAATGATGCAGACGACTCTCTCAATTATGTAAGTACTTGAATGCTATACACATCTCGCTCGCAAAAACTGTAGTTAGAGGCAGTCAATGAATAGTTGTGACCTTAGTGTACTAGGACCACTTTACTTTATCGTAACAAAAATAGGTTTAAAAAACTAAAAAACACACTTTGTGTAGAAAACCAAACTAAGAAATTGAAAATATTTTTTAATAAATTTGAAAAAAAAAAAGCGTTGGGTGCCTGTTATCAATAGTAAAAAGCACCCCACATTTTTTAGTTTGGTTTTCTAGAAAAAAAGCGTGTTTTTTAAAACATTTTTTTGTTTTTTTATTAAATTAGTGTATTGTCATCGGTCCTCGAAATATCTACAAAGTTTGAACGAATTCTGACCGTTTAAAGTCAGTCAAAATCACGCCCAAAGGAGTCGGTTACAAACATACAAATAAACATACAAACATACAAGTGAAGTTACTATAAAGCGTGTAAAAAAGGGATACTTGTTATATGAATTAAAAGTTACGTAAAGATCGGATACTTGCTCACTTGACAAAATATAGCTGCCGGTGAGATAATTAGATCTCAAAAAAAAATGGGTGTAATTTATACAAGGTACTCTCTTCCTGTCACTGCTGATTCTTACCTCTGTGGTTAATACTAAACTGTATTTTTTGTATTGTTGTTACTTTTTTATTAGATGCAGGGTTAAGCTAAGATTTATAATCAAAATAAAAAACAAAACTGTTAACTATTATATAAATGTTTAAATTGCATCGAGGTTTCTAAAATTAATATGAAACGTAAAATGTTCTTGGATGAGCAATAACGAGATTGATTGTCTCGGAGACAAGTTTAATAGTTAACTATTAAACGATTCCCTTCCCTTCCCTGTGGTGACGGATTAAGAATACGGAGTGGCACCACCCATATTCATCCCGTGGGTGTCGTAAGAGCCGAGTACGGGAGCAAGCTACGCAGACCACAGCACTGCAAAGAGAAGGAAAACTTGAAGCAAACCTATACCAATCCGACTGGCATAGTAGGCCATAACCTCTTTTCTAAGGAGAGGCCTATGTCCAACAGTGGACTAATAAAGGCTGTTGATGATGATGATGAAATGATGATAAAACTTTGTCAGTTAAGGTGAGGGTAATATGACGAATAGGGGTATAAAGAGTGTATACTGTATCTCAGAAACTGTGGGCGGTGTGCGACCTGGCGATGTCTGTGATCTGGGCGCGCTCGCAGAGCTTCGAGTTGCGCGACTTCCCGTCGGACGCGCGCATCCCCACGATGTACTTCACGCCGCAGTCCGAGTACTTCGTCAACACGCGCGTCTTCTTGCCGCCCGAGCTTCAGGTACTTTACGTGCAATATAACTACTTTACACCCATTCAACGCTTCATTCTGTATTCTTTTAGTAAATATATATTTGTGCATAACCAGCATAAAGAAGAAATCTTGTTAAAGGCCTATATGTAGTCAATTATAATTTGGTCCGAGTGGTGGACTGGTAAGAGTTCAGATCTAATGACTTTGAATGTTAAATATTAGAACGTTGTATGTATATTTAAAGGGAATTTTGATTGTTTTCAAGGAACTATCCATATTCTATAACACCGTAAGTACTTGTGTTAGTAAATATTTCCTCTTGTCTCAGTTCCAGCCTAAGAGGCAAGCCACGACTGAGGCAGTCGCCCGAGGCAAGAAACGTCCTCGACAGATGCCTGACAGAGAAAACACGAATGATGTTGAGGTAAGACCACAGAAATGTGTATTTATTTGTTTGAGTGTGTGTGCTTCTGTATGCAAATATAATGTATTTATTATTATACTTTGAGAAAAAATGACAAATAATGGCCAAAGTTATCCAATATTTATATAAATATTGGAAATCGTGTGTGTTTTCCGTGTGTTAGAGGATGTATATTTATTTGTACATTTTCCAAGCTTACCGTTGGACGCTCTGGAAGTATTGATGCTAAGGTAAACACAGTAGAAAGTAATTTTCATATGAAGAATAAAATTTGTAAAATCTATTTTAATTTTTGCTCTGTACATTATTGGTTGATAGTCATGTTTATGCTGTTTTATTGTGTTTATTTTTATGTATTAGTTCTTATTCATATTCATTAGCATTGGTACAAATATATATATATATATATATATATTTTAGTTTCTTATTAAATATCTTAAACTGTATTCTAGATACAGAAAAAACTTGCATTATAGTACACAATAATTGTTTACGTTTAACTATATGTATATTCAGTATAAAAGACATGTTATATCTTATCTGTATCTTTAGAAATCTTTTAGTTTTATGAAAATAACGGGTAGGACATAATCATAGAACATATTCGACTACTCTGCCCAGTTCTCTTATAAGGTGTTGAAAAGGTATAATATCACATACACACTTTCCACAGCCATCTGAAGCATCAGACACCCAGATCCAGCTGCCAGGTCTGGAAAACCCCCCGGAGACAGACGTCGATGAGCCGCAGGCGAAACGTCCAGTGAGCGACTGAGATTCGGCCGCGGGCACTATACAGCCGAGGGAACACTCGGTCATCAGTAAGTGTCCTAACATAAAGATAGATAATCGACATGAGTAAGCATTTATTTGACAGATACTAAATCATTGTATGTAAATTATGCTGACAAATATTTGCCCATACATAGGGCAGGGAAATAATGTGTCCTAAGACAGTCAAGTTGTGAGATAGCCTACTGATGTCAATGTAAGACAGTATTCTATTTGTCTCTCAAACCTTGTGGCATTCGTATAGTAGTATGAACCGTTGCAATTGTTTGACTTGTCTAAGCAAAATTGCTGTTGTAATTATAAATATTACAAAAATGTTTTAAAGCTCCCATATGTCTGTCAGAGAGCTGTTGTAAAAATTTGATGTCACTTTATATGATGTGGTGTTTTAAGTCACTTCAGATATGTGTATATTGCTATCAGTGTATTTTTATTGTGTAGAAGTAACGGTCTGAAAGACCTTGATAATAATAGTAATAATAAATCTTGTATTTAATTTCATTCGTATTTTAGAACAGTTGTATTCACAAATGAATTTTGAAATGTTCTAATACTATTATTAATATTCTTCTTCAGTTCTTTTTTAATTAATTAACTTCATTTACGACATTACTGCACAGCACTGCCCTTGATGAATAATAATCGTCACCTTATGTGTTCCCTTGATGCCATTACCATAATAACAGCAAGAAAATTGGACATGTCAGACACTATACACTCCATAGTTATAAATTATGTGGCCTGTTTATCAGGTCGGGTATTCGATTTCGACCCAGGACAAATAATTATGTAATGAGCATGATAATTCCGGTGTCTTGGTGTTACTTCTGTATCTATATACTATATGTATGTATTCAGAAATCTCTGTTTATCAGCAGTCTGAGGGCCTAGTGTGAGTTTATTTCACATCTACTCGCTCTCAACGGCGAGCGCGTTTGGCGCTGCGGTTGGTGAAGTTTTAGTGCGGGCTGCGAAAGGCCGTCAGAGTGTCGATCGAGTAGATGTGAAATAAACTTACACCAGGCCCTCGTGTTACCATAGGGCAGTTGTGCATCTGCTTTAGTTTAATTTAGGTCTGTTTTAGAATTTTCATCAGAATTTGCTCTCTCACTAACTAACCCATATGTATACTAACATGCCTTGTCTATTGTACACGTTTACTACATTGAAAACTACCGTAACTTTAGAAAATAATGCTACCTCATTTGACATGTCACGATTATCTATCATCAATATGATTTAGGGCACCTTCACTTATTCCTGTGTCTGTGTATACCATATTAAACTTTATGATTTTTTACTCAAATTGTAGGAGACTACCGTGGTTAAAGATAAAGTATATACTGGTAAATTTAACAAATTTTGCATCTTATTTATTTGATGGATCAAGTGCCTACTTACAAGTTACGTTTTAGTATTTTTTAAGACCCTAATTAATCCCAACCAAACCCATATACTTTTACGATTAATTCGAATGTATACATTACTAAGTACTATTGAAGAGTGGGAACTCATTGAAAATACTTTCATATTCCACTATTAATTCTTTGCTAACTAATGAAACTTTGTCTTGTTTGTCAAAACTCAAACAAACCCAGTCATGTATATTTAAGCTTAACATAAGAAAGACTGGCTTGTATTTTCACATTTGAAATGAAATATTTAATGATTAAGTATGATTTTTGTCAAAACTCTAAAGTTTGAAATAAGAATACGTTTAAAATATCAGGTAGAAATCAATATTGTTGTGTAGTCTCTAATTTTGATTTCATAGATTATGTTACTTGACCATAAATTTACCATACTTTTTCAGTCACTTGTGGCTGGCTCGGGCAAAGGTGTTAAGTGCATGACCTATGCCCAGCCTTTATGGTTCACTGCTTTTTTTAACAAGTGTTACCTTGGTAACTTTATTTACATAAATTCTTTAATGAAGGATCGTTTTGTGAAATAATAATGACTTTATAATGTTATTTGTTGTAGAGTAGTGTTGATTTTAAACTGAAAGTGAAAGTTGTGAGAGGGTACTACAATCTGACATAAATTGTGTTTATCTTTTCACAAGTAGCAATTTAAATAATCTAATGAATTGAAATAAAAAGGACATTTTGATTTAATTACAATTGTTGATTGCATTATAACCTTCAACTCATTGCACTATTGCTATTCTATCTTTTATAAATAAGTCTTTTATACATATGTGTGTACCATTGGACTCTTACAAGAAGTTGCAGGTGGTATAATGAGATATATTGTTCCCACGCATTCTATGATAAAATGTAGCTCAGTATTGAATTCAATCTAAATTTGTTCACCAGTCAGGGCATGATATACTTGTTTATAACTTAATCAGGATTATGTGCCATTATGTCATTAAGACAAATAATTTACTTAATTATTTCTTTATACAAACAAATATATCTAATCATATTTTCTGTCAACTCCTTTTGCAAATATTTTAGTTTTCACAACTTTGTCAACTAACTGTCTCGAGTTCTGTTAAAGTACTGCCACATTTCTTAATCATTTCTTCTCTTAAGCCATTGTATTAAAAACAATAGTACAGCATCTGTGTACAATGCCAAAGCAATACTCGGTTTTTTAGTTACCATGTTTAGATATCATCTACATCTATGTGCTCTGCTAATTCTGCAATACTCAGTTACTTTCAAACCCCTTAAGTTTTTCGGATATTTGTTCCTATGTACAACAGTGTTACATTTTTTATTTGCCTCGCAAATTGTCTCCTTATATTTGAATGTGATAATTAATAACTCATCTTAGTTTAGAATGGTACGCAATACGATCCTTCATAGAATTTTGAAATAGAAATGTGAGTAATTATAATATAACTTTGAAATACACGCCAGCTGTGACTGATATTGTATCTGATCATGTTTGTTGTGTAAACAGAAATTTTGCTATATATTGAACATTTTATTGATGTAAATCGGAACTTGGTTGCATTTTATATCTAACAAGGCAGTGTTTAGAATTTATATCTGAATACACGTATGTGTTCTTCAATAGAGTCCTGTTGAAGATTTTTGGAATGATTCAATTCAAGATTCTTCGTTCATATCATATAAGGAAATAAGTTATTATTGAAAGTAATATGCTCTTAAATCAAAGTGTTACAGAAAATTGGTTTGCAAAATATTTAATTGATTCACATTGATTCATAAATGCGGGACATAATTAGTTCTGAATGAGAACATTAATTTAAAGACAAAAGAAACATCAATAATACTTTGTAATAATTTGAAAACGAGAGAAACATCAATAAATACTCAGTCCATTGGATTAATTTTCTTTTTGACAATTGCTTGTGAATGTAATTATATCAAAATTTGGAAAACGTAGTATTACAAGGAAATGTTTTTACTGCTTATTTTGATTTTATTGTAAATATTTTTAAAATTATATTTAAAGTGCTTCTACCACACTTGGTAGTATGTGGAAAAAAAAAACTTTTAGTTCAGACTTTTAAGTAATGGTTGACTTAAAGAGAAAATAGATAAAAGGTGATACACAGTACATTAGTTACTCAAGAACTCAATAAATGTACATAATATCATTTGTTATTATTGGATTATGTCATCAACAGCCTTTAAAGACAATCCGTATTCTTAATTCGTCACCACACATACATTTGGAATAGAGAACAAGTATTTTCGTAAAAACCTTATCTAAAATTAAATAGTTTAATATTTTTTGTGTCTGTGTTAGGGCGTCATCAATTCATTGCTAATGGAATTGTAAAAAAGAAAATAATAAAATGGACAGAGTATACATAATCATGAAATGAGTCAAAATTGTGTCATAAATCGTATTTACTATTGAAACACTGAATAATGACTACTTCTTTTACTGATCAGTAATGTCTACTATTGTACTACCCTACTGGTATTCTTAAGTATGTATCTATGGACTTTCTCATGTTGAAAGAGTCACGTTATATATATTTTTAGCTAATTTATAGTTATGTATGTCAGCCTCTGAAAACAATCAGTGCAATTTGGTCGAAAGGTCAGGCAATTCAATTTTATAGAATACCTATTACAGGATGGCGTTTATTGCCGTACAAATACATATGATTATATTACTAAATATGTATTAAATTCTTTTTATACATCATCTATAGATACCTACTTAGGTGTGCGAGCTACAGCTTCAGGGTATTATTTGTGAGTCCCCAAGTCTTACCGTATAAATTTTAACTTATATAGTAAACACAGATTGAACAACTGGTTGCAATATAATTTTATCTAAGTAATTTTCACTTTTAAATGAATCGACATAAGTAATCCTCAAGAAATGTGTACTTCTACAAATGTTCTATGTCACATACACCTCTCTAGGCTTGGCTGGGACTTAAATCAATTATGGAGTTGAGAAAACAATGATGTTTGATTTCAAACATCCTCGGAAGTGAAACGATCTAAAAATAGAGATAATGAGTCTGTATTATACATTATAATCGATAAGTTTTAATATCTTAATGTTTGTTGTTTTTAGTTTTAATTTCTTTCGGCTGGTCGATGAGTTTTTCCGTTTTTTTTTAATTCTATTGTATAGTTTGGACCTCTATATCGAGGACAACACGAATGTTGACTGCAAATGTTTGTATCTTTGGACATATTTGTTTAGTCTGTGGCCATCGCAGCGGATAATTTTAAGGTATAATGTGTACTGCCGATATAACGGCATGTCAATGAGATAACGCTGTAGAAAGTTTATATATAAATTTTATAGCTTTGTCAGGCGATTTTATCGTTCTTTGGTGAAGTTCTATTCAAATTTTTTGGAATACTTTATTAAAACAAAATCTACGCTGCGTATCTCAGAGAACCCGACCTAAAATAAGTACTCGTCAACTATAATAATTTAATTTCTCGTGATATTATTCTAAATATCAATGTAGGTTTTTATCGGGGACCGAACCCTGTAGTTAACAAGCACATAGTTAATTGAGTAATAAGTTGAGCCTGTGAGGTCACAGTTGTCTTACTGTGCGATCTGACGTCATATACATTGTAAGATTATATATATTTATTATAAGTAATTTCACCTGTTTTTCATTAGTTAGGTTCATAGATTTCACCCTACCCGCTCCGATGCCCATAATGTCCAAGACCTGCGTTAATTAAGAACTTTTTTATTGATAAAATTTGTTTTAAGGTGTACCAAAAAAAATATAATGATTTTGCGACACAATGCTCGCTCTAATGTCGCAGTGATTCTCTGTAGTTATATATTAAAAATAAACAATAAACACATTTTGGTTGTTTGATTCAATTTATTACCATTCAAAGTATCCTGTGGACAGTTGACAGTTGCCAGACAAACTGGTAGTACTTATCGGTGTAACAATTTACCAAAAGACCATGTTTGTTAAGAGATCGATCACACTAATATGCCTTAGTCAAAGATGAGAGACGTTCTCTTACACATACTAATTAGTCAAGTAGGCGATGTCTTATACTAGCTTTGCTCTGCCGCGGCTCTGCCCGCGTGTATGTCGGTTATTGTGGTAAAAAGTAGCCTATGTTACTAGTCTTGTAATAGTGAAAGACTTTTAAAATCGGTTTAGTAGATTAGGCGTGAAAGCGTAACAAACAAACTTTCACATTTATAATATGAGTATGGACTGTATCGTAGAAATTTATTTTACAAAGCAGAGATCATGATCTGAAGGACTTAAGTCATTCAAGAACATTATGAATGTCTAGAAGGAACACCCTTAAGGCAAGCGTCGTTTGATGACAGTTGTGAAGCCTTTGAATTAGATGAGTTTGTGGAATGAACATTCAATCAAAACGTCAATTTATTAAAACATTTATTACAATTAATTGCGTTTGGCATTATTTTTAACTAAATGTTAATTGTAAATGTCAATTTTTCAAATTAAAATAATTTCAATTATTATAATGGTCGTCTTATTCATCAATATAAATTATACGCAACTAACTATTTACACAAAACAATTTGTGAGAACACACCACTCAATTCGAGCCGAACACTGACAATAATATTATGTAGATGTCTTTTTACAAATTCATTCTTAAATTCTCAATTGTGAAGGTAATAGTCATGATTAACATGTAAATATTCGTGAATTTTAGTAGTTAAATTAAAACAATAAATTAATTGTCTAAACGGTAGATACATATTATTAACCTATAATTGTAATAATAATTTCATTTTGTTTAACACGAGCACAGAGCTATATAAAGACTAGTTACGCTTTTAAACTTTAATTTGATCGTGACCCGAGTGTTTGTAAATTTCATTCAGGGCCAGGACTTCAAACATACAAAGGGAATGTACAACGGGAACATACACAGAGCTAATCAAACGAAAACAGGCTCAGTCTTCTTCCAGTACTTATGTATCTCTTCTAGACTCTTCCCTTTCGTCTCTGGTACCCACAGCACAGTGTACACGACCCCAAAGAAGGTCACCGCGGCGAAGCTATAGAAGACTACGTAAGCCCCAAACTGGTCTGCCACGGGTGTGTAGAAGAGAACTGTCATCGAGCTACAGAAGAATGAGAATGCCATTGATGCACCTGCCATGCGGGCTCGGACCTGTTAACAAAGCTAAATTTCAGTGTAACAGTAAAGGAAAACCTAGATTACGTAATAAAAAGTTTGTTGTCAATAAAAATTATGAGTTATTGTTTTTTTATTATTATGGTTGGGGGCAGATGGGTCGCCTGATGGTAAGTGACTACCGCCGCTCAAGGACACCTGCAACTAAAGAGACAAAGTACGTAACAGTCCTTTATCCCCAGAATTAAGGTGACTGGGGTCGGACCTCCGATTACCCGAAACTTTCAAATACAAATAATAATATTTACATTAAGTATAACATTAAACTTCAAGCTACAGCACTGGTAATCTTGTAATGAACGTGTATGTTGTAATAAAATTAATACCTTATCAAAAATGTTAGAAAACCGGTCAGTAAGCATATGCAATTAGGGATTGCTTTGCGATCATTAGGTACATTTAATTCACGAACTTACCTGGAAAGGGAACACTTCAGCCATTATCACCAAAGGTACTGGAGCTAAGCCAGCTCCATACGCGAGTATACAGACGCAGACAGCCGTGACCGGCAGCCAGGTCACGATGCCCTTGCCGAGGAGGAAGCAAGTCGCTAATGTCGTCATGCACACCGATACTACAAGGGAACTGCAAGCTAGTGGTATCTAAAACAACAAAATTTTATATATTTACTATTGTGTACTAGTACGTGGCATCAGGGCCAAGACTTACACTTCGATACAATTTGTAAGAAAAATCCGTATTATGACGCAATAAATCTAAAATGAAAACAATAATATTGTATTAATACTCTATCTGCGTGAGATTTTATGATTCGTTGTTTTACTTTAGAGTTTTAACCATTTTTAAAACAAGCGTAATAATATAAGTGACTGTTGCTTTGTTATTAAATATATGAGCATGTATTAATTTAAGAAATTAATGTACACAGTTATTGGTAAACTTTTAATAAATAAATCTAAAATATTTTTTTCATGGTTAAAATGCGGCCCATGGATAAATTTCACATGTTACGAGAAACAATTTTTAAAACTTTGTTTCCAAAAAAAGAAAAAATAGAAAATAAATGTACTGTATAATGGAAAACGAAGCTAGCGATGTTGTATTTAGTAATAACACAGCAGGCTGCTTTTCATTAGATTAAGAAGAACCCCTGCATCCTGAAACTAAAATATTGATGGCCAACTTTCTTTTGTCAACATAACTTTTTATTTAATTACAGTGATGCCAACTCCGGACTTTTCTCTCCAAATTTAGGGGGAAAAAATCTATAAAGGGAGTTTTTAGGGGGTTAAACTTGTTGTGGGTATTTTTAGGCATGACTTGCAGCTGAGTTATGAATTTTAAAACAAATATTTACTAATAATACTTGGTCCGTCGTTGGGGAGTTTTGGTGTGAATTTAGTGGATTTTTAAATTGATTTAGGGGGAACGTTTTTAACAGTTGGCGACACTGTTTAATTATGCTTTTTGACATTAGATAGATAGATAGATAAATACTTTATTTGTACACCAATGTTTTACAGACATTATACAGTAATTAACGACCGATGTAATGTACAAAGGGCGGCCTTATCGCTTAGTGCAATTTCTTCCAGACAACCTTTGGATGGATTCATTTTGAAATGGTGATAGGTATACATAAATTAGGGAAGTAAATAAGGTCTTAACCTATGAAATATTTTTTATACATAAATACTACTAATCTACATTATTATTATTGACATAGGTATGTTTTTCATAATAATGAGTACCTTACATTCTCCTCAATCATTCGACTTTTAAACAATACATTATTAAATGTATTGCTTAAAATAATAGGTCTTTACCTATGAAAGACCTATTAGCTTTGTAAATAACTCATTAATTTTAGTAATAGTATCCAACGTATTTAATTGAATAATTTCCTCAAATACGTATTTAAATACGTAAATAGTTAAATACGTCGTGCATTTAATGTAGATTAAAATTGCTTTTCACAGCATATCATTAAAATGAATATTTTAGAAGATATTAGAAGTTTAAAATGCGAGGGCGCAATGACCGTCCAGTCGTACCGTCCGTCCGACTAGGGTGGCAGCGGCCGACCGGATTGGAGCGGTCCTATAAATATTACATTTAAAGATGTCCTGTAGCATTATTAATAGCTCTATCATATTAATAGTATAAATAATTACTCCACACTAACACCATATTAGTAGTATTAGTAGTATCTACATTGCACCCGTGCGAAGCCGGGGCGGATCGCTAGTTTGTTATAATATAAACCCTATAGGTTATGTGAGTGTAAAGCGCTTGGTATATGGTTGTCATTAGGCATGTACTTAAATGTTACGCGAAAGAAAATAATAACAAGCCACATAAAAGGTAAACCATCTTTAATTTTACACATGAGTAGCAAAGTTGAAGTCGCGCGAAGACAAATAAACACCAAGAGATTACGAGAATAATCTCCAAAATTTAACATACTAACTGCAAAATAAACGTTTACCTAACACTTTACTATCTATTACATCATAATATATTATGATTACATTATATCAAAAACGTTCTCTTAATCTATTTATGAATTCATTCCACGGGCAAAAGCCATTCTGATCCACTTTACACCACGTTAATTCCAATAAAACTCTTTGCGGTGGCTCATTTTCAGAAAATTTACAACCATTTCTCAATTGTAACCACGATGCATAAATGTATTCTATTTTTAAATAATCGTTAACATCATCTGTCCATCTCTGGAAAACTATTTTTCCGCCAATAGGAAAATCCTCGTATTGATGAGGCAAACGTATAGGTTTAAAGTTTAAACCATAAAAAATTGAGATTTGATTAAAATCATGCCCTACTATTGATATGATTTTCGGCATATTATTGTAATTAAAAAAAGTTAATGTCAAGAGTTTTATTAGTGGTGCTCCGTAATCTTTAGCTAATGTTCTGTACCTTATATCATGGTCTTGTCGTGCTACTTCAGTTATGGTTTCCCATTCTTTCGACGTTCTCACAAGTCCCCATGCAACATCTTCCATCGGCATCCCGTTATAATAACTCATTGTAAAAAAGTCTACAACTGTAACCCCTATGTAGAATGGACCCTCTACCCAAAGTTCTTGACCAGATTTAAAATAAATGTTATTTTTACTGTTATCGTTCAAATCACAAATCGAATTAGTTTTACACACTTCTGAATGATTTATTTTTAATATTTTATTTAATGCCGATAACCCTGCTTTCAGCGCTGAATTATTATACATTTTACGGTTTATTTTCTTCAACACATTTTTTTTAAATATGTGTGTGTTATTGCGTAACACAGGACTAAAGTTGGGATCCATTTTTTCAGAAGTTTTCGAATTTCTTAAATAATGTATAGGTACATTGCAATCTTTAAATGCAGATTTGATAAATGCTTTTGCTGTTTCTACAGTTCGGGACAGGGAGTTCACATAAAAGTACACTGAATCTTTACGAGGACACTTTTCTGGGAGAAACTGTTCACTTTTAAACCACTCTGAGAAGTATTCGCCCATGTATTCTTCTAATAAAACTCCCTTTTGCGTCAAGTATCCTGGTTTCTCATTAAATTTGGGCCATACTTTTCGTGTGTATTCTGACACATGTTTCCCCATAGGTGTTCGAATATTATGTCTACCGAATATGAAAACTTGTTTCAGTCTTAGGCCATCTATTCCTTTGTAGGAAACGACAATTAAAAATGAAATGATTAATTTTAAACACATATTGACTGTTACTTCAAGCACATTAAAAGTAACACTATCAAATGTAGGTATGTTAATTACATTAAAAACAAAATGGTTATAATACTCGTATACCTACTACACATTGTTACACTCCGAACGACACTGCTACGAGTGGATATTAAAACTTTCTAGAATAGTGTTTTTACTCGACTGTGTCAAAACGAGGATTGTGTTTTTCAAGTGTATTTACATTTTCAAGTGTATTTGTATTTACATTTTTTGGCACGCTCTGTAGCCATAACGCTGTCATGGATTTTGGTTTGAGAGGTGCCGTTAGATTCGTCTTAATTGTGAGAGTGATACCGAGCTTATCAAAATTATAAAAGGTATTACTTGTAAAAGATTGAAACTTGAATATTGATCACTGTCGACATTATAGAACTGCTTCAATTCCATGCCATTGATTTCAAGATTAATAGTAATTGAATCTAACCCAATTTATATGTAAAAGCGCCAATTTACATCTAAAAATTTTAGTAATTATTATGATGATGATCATTTTAACATGTTATTGTTTATAATTACCTATTATTTAAATATTATTTTATGCTTAAATAATTTCACTTGTTTTTATCGCACTTTATTGGTAAAGATGTAAATTCGTTAGGTATTTTCAATTAAGAATATTTGTACGCCTTATGGCAAAGCAAAGCGCAACTACTGCATACTGTAACACTTAACATATCATTGTAACTTTACCTGCTTATGTTTACAAATAAAGCTTTCTGATTCTAAATGGCCTATTATTGGCACTATTTTATGTGTTTCAAAGCTAATCGTGGGGTATCTTAACAACGTGTTTCATAAATATCTTACAAAAAAAATATATTTTATTCCTTATGTACATTACATAAATATGTATTTGTGTATTGGTCTATGTAGGTACTTTTAAATAGCACTATTAAGTGTTATTTTAATATTTGTAAATGCGTAGTTAGGTTTCATTGTACATAATATGCATCTGGCCTGTCCCTTACTGAACCATCTAAAATTTGACTGGTAGAAAATGCCATGTGGCATTAATTCTACCTCGTGCAAAATGTAATGCAGGAAGTTTAAAAATAAAAAATATACCACTTATATGTTTATTAGTCAGGTTTTTTATTTCTATTAATGATCTTGTTTAATTTGTATTTAATTTGATACCAAATATAAATATCGTTTCATAGTGTTGTTACAAAACTTGATTGATATGTATGTTCAGACCAATTTACAACCTGCCATTTAGAAAGTAATGGCCTGTTTAGTTTCTATTTCATGTTATTGAGAGTACCCAGCTCCTTTTCGAGTAAGTGTAACATTACTGTCAGGATTTTCTTTATGTCCATCGATTGATTTTCGTGTAAACTAGCGATCACAGGATTTTTTAAGATACAAAGATTACGAGTGTAGAAATGGGATCCACCCAAACACTCGAGTGTCTAAATATAGAGATTTATCTACATAGATGTAACTATTGCCGGTAGTCATGATTTCTACCCTGATTTGCAGAGAAATATAATTCAGTATGTTTTTACCGGTTAAGCGATGTTTTTGTGTAAGTGTAACTTTAGCATCGCTTAAAAGCTTTTAACTGTGACGTATGTTGTAAAAACAAAGTCAGTCAGTCAGTGTCAGTCCTCATCTTTGCCACCTAAAATGACCATAACACTTATATTTTTCGGAACATTTCCAAAAAAATAAACATTTAAATGTATTGTCAGTACCTTTCTCCCAAATTTTTCTATCGAAACTGTCGTGAAGAAAGACCCGGCCAGTTGCAAGGACCCCATGAAGAGCGCCAACGTGTTGGGTCTCCACTCAGTGCCCGCGCGCTGGAACACGTCAGCTGCATAGTTCATGAGGGCGAAACATCCAGATAGCGTTTGCATCGCCATCAGCATCAGCGTCATCCGAAGCGCGGAGAACGTCGTGCGATCTTGAACTAAAAATGTCACAATAATTTAATACTCATCTCTTTAATTTACAATGTAAATGTACTTGACAAACAAGCAAATGCAAGCAAACATACAAATTCCTTTGAAAATTTACATGATATTTTTATCTTAGCTACTATTTATATTGTAGCGTACATTCTTCATGTTTGGTTTATTTAACTGTCCCAGTTCAATAGTAAATCCATTTTGAACAAGGCTTGTTATAAGATAACAGTTTTTAGTTTAGGAAACTAAATTATTTGTTATGATACATTGCTTGTCCGTGTCTTCACATTGAAGTAGATCAGCTTTGGTACATTGTTAACGATTCACCACAATAATATAAGTGTATTATATACATATAATATGCCGGAAGTTATTGTTACCCTTAAAACTTACACTCTTTAAAATGTACCTACTTTAACTATTTATTTTATTAATGGTTCAAAAAATATTAATGGTTCAAAAAATATTAATTGGTACCTAAGTTATTGAGAAATGTTGACATTCTAACACACGCCGAGACGCCGACGTTCCATAAACATTACTCAATTACATTAAAGACAAAAGGTATTTTTTTGTATTCGGCTTCTTAAGCAATAACTAGAATCGAAAACTCAAGTTTGACCAAAGTTTGGAACCAATCTTGTCATCTTGTTTTTTTTTGACTATGCGGCTACTTAACTGAACGGGGTTAACAAATATTGCTACCAAGAAATAAACATTTTTTGTTTGTTTTTGTACTCGATTTAAAATGACATAGAAACCGTACGGTCAAGTTGAGTAGCCGTACCTTACCTACACTAAGAAGTGGAACGCGCGCCATTGCGTCGAACTGTATTTGTTCTTCTTTCAGCTTATGCAACTCCTCTGTTACTAGCTTATGGCTCTTGCTTAAGCTTCGGAGCCATGCAATCGTCCTCACCGCTTTCTACGAACAAAATGATCTTAAATTTGAATCTGTCCAAAATAAATTTCAGTGACTTTTAAGCAAGGTTTCGCTAGCGTCGAATCCTAACAAATGCCAAAAATACAAAATTGAGTTCGTTTGTTTATTAGTTCTCGTGTTTGTTACGCTTTGACGTCATAGCTACTCAATCCCTTATCTTGAAATATTACATACCTACCGGTTGTTAGGGATAGCCGTACATTTCATATATTCCGTGTGGTGACGGATTAAGAATACAGAATGTCACCACTCCTATTCCTCCCGCTACTAAGGGAGCAAACTACGTAGGACAACAGCACTGCAAAGAGAAGGAAAACTTGACGCGAACGCTTTTTTTACTTTAACGTGTGGAAACCCCCTCGGGCCGTTACCTCGCCAGAGTTTACGGCGGGGCGGTGTGTGGGCATCGAACCGACTAAAACTACACGATGTGCCACTCCGCGCCTCCGCGCCATTAAGACATCCGGACCCCTCTAAGCGCCTTCCCGTCTTATCTATGGCCACCCGTAAGCATTGCGCCTCAATGCGCCCGACCACCAGAGAGACTCCCCTAGTGGCCAGGGGCGCCGCCTCTTGAAAGTTCACCCCCGGGCTGTGACCAAAGTGTCATCAGCGTAACAGATTACGCCTAGCCCAGGGGGAAATCAGCTCGAATCATCATCAATGTTCCAATGGAGGGGTCCAAGAACAGACCCCTGTGGAACACCGCACGTCATGGGCCGACACCTCAAATTACCATCTCGGTCCTCGCACACGACGGTACGCTCCTCTAAATAGTCTCCCACTAGCCTCTAGCAGTTGAGTGCTTCCCTGATGCAGCTGAATGGCAGATAATTGAATGCGTTGGCAAGCAAGCCGCTACGGTTCACTGCCTCTTCGGTCACAGTCCTCGACACAGCGTCGATCGTTGAACGCCCCGCTCGAAAACCGAATTGGGCGTCTGACAGATCGGGGCTCACCTTGCAGATCCGACAGATCATCCAAGTCGTACGCCCGTTGCGGGAATAGGCCCTCTACATCTTCCTGCAGGAAGCTGGGCTGGATAGTCTTTGTAGGAGGCAGGGGGGGCACGATGCGCTGAGCTTTTGTTGCACCGCACGGTGAGGGTGACCCCAGGGGTCACGTTCGAGACCCTCCGGCATCTCCTTTCTTTTCACTTCTTTGGCGCGGCTAATTGCCCCCGATATTTGACGAGAATTTCGGGGAGGCGACGTCCGGCACACGCGGACGTAGCCTCGCGGCTGGCCGTTATGGCGGGTGGAAAGGAAAACCCGTCCCGTCCAACCGCGGCCACACTCAAGGCGGCATGAGGCGGTGGTAAGCGTGTCTTCGCGGCCAACGAATTGGGTCCGCATGGACGAGGTGACCACTTCGCAGAAGGACCGCGGTGAAACATCTGTCACTTCCGGCCATGGCGCGTATGATGGCCGGTAGCGAGAGATCCCCTCCGATGACTGCAATGAAGACCCGGCGCTGCGGCGCCCAAGCCGGTCAAATCGCAGTGGTGATAGGCGGGACTCAATTCCCTCCTATCGACCGAGTGCAGGTACTTCCCTAAGCAGCCGTGCCCGCAAAGGCCTGCGTCAGCCTTAAGGAAAGGGTCCCGTGCTGTGTTTGTATCAATAGGAAAAACACTAGATATTGGCTTTTTAAATTATTTTTGCTGTGGGGGTCTGAGGTATCAGTTAATTCCGGATAAGGGGTCTCTGGCCCAAAATAGTTTGGGAATCTCTGGTTTAGAGGACAATCGAGCAGACGAATCACCTAATAGTATTTGACAACTGCCGGCCATGGACATCAGTAACTTACCTAAGAGTCAAAAGTGCGTTGCTGCCTTTCGAGCAAGAATAGGTTAGATCAAGTTAAATCAGTATCTTTTTTTAAACGTAAAAACGCTAGACGCGGTGTATTTTTGTATGAATTCCTATTTCGTAAAGTCATACCTAGCGATTGTCAAATCATTTGTATTTAATGTTGATATCAAGATATCAAATCAATAAAAAGATAAACTTGATTAATGGAGGACAATTCAGGCTCCACTTTAAGATGTTACATGTAATGATGTAGGCCAAAAATTTATATTAAACCTAGGTGTCTACAATATTAGGTCGAGGGGGAGTTGGGTGCTCCGGTCACGTCACTCACTCGCTGAAAACAAACTCTGGTTCTCTCTGAGGCCGTGATATTACTGCAGTCGAAATGGCTCCCTACGGTTAGTAACTTCTGCTTCTTGCCATATTACACATAAGTACATACATTACAACACATAAATACAATACAAAAAGATATTATATATGCAAAAATAATAAAAATACATACGCAAATATAAATGTATGTGAATAACGCCATTTCTTTATTCTTTACTGATAACTATTTTTATATAAAAAAATCACAATCAAATCAGTGTCTTTTACTGGCTTTGACCAAGACGCTTGTATTTGAGACATTTTAAACTGTTTCACAAAAAAATAATGATTCAAGATGCTTTGTGGCATCTGTTGACTTGTTTGGAGCCATTATATAGCCTGTAAAAATCGTACACCAACCTTTTCTTTTCCAATTTTGAGCAAATAATTTGGAGATTCGGGCATAAAACAGAACAGGACCACATGTATACCAGAAACAGCTAAATATACAACTTGGTTCAATTTATACGACGCTGCCATCCCAACAGCATACACGAAGATCACGCCCAGTTTGCAAACAGTCATGTTCAAGGACCCAAGAGCTCCTCGAAGAGTGTCCTGGGATATTTCCTTGACGTATACTGGGACTACAACAAAACAACCTCCTGCTGCAAGGCCGGCTATAACCCTAGCGATTATGAGAGTTGCTGGCATTATTGCCGTTAGCTTCATTGTCCAGGATATCTGAAATAAGAAAGGTAATAATTAAAAATACTCTTTATGCGTTTAGTATTCTTTTTGTTTCGTTACTTGGTTCCCATGCATGCTTGTATCAAAGTCAATCGCAGAATTATTCGCTCTTTCTCCTCTCAAAACCTTGATTATTTTAGATTTATTTTGATTTATCTGTTAAACATTTATTCCAGTTTTAATCTTTTAAGATCCATCTTTTGTGTTTCTTTTCTTTATTTCTTTAAATTATTATGTCTTTGTAAATAATAATGTCTTTTTTAAAGTTAATAACAAAATAGCCTATAGGTATAAAAGAGTGGTCCTGAGTTTGTTTGGCAGATTTCTTCTTCTGGCAGGTTATATATAGGTTCGTCGACACAGGTAGAAACGGTTTTTTTTTTCTTTTTAAAAAGACAACTCCTGCATTAGGAATAAGTATATCCTGTGTCGCGGGGGACTTTACAAACATACATGAAACGGACACAAAGAACACCCAGACTCAGACCAACAATTTGTGGATCGCACAAAGTGTAGTTCCATGTGGGGATCGGACCCACAGCACTTAGCGTAGTAGTATGCGGCGTGGCGACCGCTTAAACCACTACGCCATCCGTGTAGTCTTTTATCCATATTTTTCAATAATATTACATTTGACAATCCATCCCGACGTTCTGACCTATTTATAAATATAAAAATGTTAAGTAGGTTTGTGTACGCTTTAATAACTCAGTAAGTTCTACACCGATTGAGCTCAAACTTTAATGCGATATACAACACGTTTCAAAGATTATATTTATCTATATTTGCATTAATTTCGTTCATCATTTCTCATCAATGCAACCACAATGTGGCATGGCGAAGCGTGGCAGGGTACAGCTACTAATTTATAAATATAAGTATATTTTAAGGAGGATAATTGTTGAGAAATAAAGAAATTAAATTGTAAAGAAGATGATTAATCTGCTACAATCGCTAAGTGCAATCGAGATTACTCTGCATTGTGTTATGTTCTTCAGCGATCGTAAAGTAGGTACTCGTAACTACTTCCTGAAAGATTACTGAGAACGTGCGCTGGGGAATGCCGCCTCTACACTACTTAACTAAAATCAATTAAAACTGTTATATATATGAGCTTATCTACATGGATACAGTTTGTTTGCTGTCGGCAAACAAACAGCGAACTAATAATAGACTGCCTGCTTTATGTGTTTCTGTAGGACATTAAGCTGCGTATTCTTGCGAGATCTAGTATTTAAAGCTTAGTATTATATGCCTAGATAAAGTCATTATACCTATTATTATTAGGAATCATTGACGTAAAATCGTTGATTTACGATGCGTAAGTAATTATAACTATTGAGAGATTTCTAATGTGAAAGAATGCATATATAACATCATCGTTAATTTCTCAGGCGCAATCTGAATAATATTAATATTTAGATCACGTTGTGAGCAATTTTCTCAATATTTACAGCAAAGTTCAAAAACCCAGACGTTTAATGGACTTTCCACATAACGTCTGGGTTAATATAATAAAGCTAAATAAAGAAAAGGTGAATAAGATGATGATGATAAGAATTGGAAAAAGGATAGCCTTTACCACTTAGTAAATACAGATATACGTGCAAGATATATGTGCAATGTGTAAGTAATACTTACACAAGATAACACAGAAACTAAAATAACGCAGATCTTCCGCCCAAATCTATCTGAAGCGTAACTAAAAAATGGTATGCCGGCGATCCCAGCTAACGGTAGCGCTGCTGCCATCCACGAAATGTGTTTATCCGTAAGTGGCGCTTGTGCTGGTGTGGAATCAGACTTGAGCAATGGGCCCATGGGTGACAGCCAGCCGATTTGTATACCGTAAGTGAAAGTTGGGATTGTCGCTGAAAGAGGAAAAACATTTTTAAGTATGGTTTGGTATTTTGGATGTGGTCTGATGTTGTAGGCAGAATGATATAGATACCTCAGTGGTTACTAGCAATACCCACGGGTTTGATATCATATGAATTATATTGAGCATTAAATAAATTAGGTTTACTCTCGATGGTCTGTTGATGAAGCTCATAGGTTGATGGTGCAACCGTTTTTTACTTTTAATTCGGTACGCCATAATGACTAGAGCTTTATTGAGAAGAAAGTGCGATCGAGGTGTAGGTTTACTGTGAACATACTCTGCCGGATCTAGAGGATATAGAACATTAAACTAAACTAACTATTCTCATTTTAACTACTCGTTCTTTTTCGCAATATATTCGTTAATTCGCAAAACGTACATCTGTTATGTATCATTGACATATGCAGCTTATGACAGCTCTATATTGTAACTGTTTGATTACTTTCCATTACAAGATTCCATTACATCTTTTACGCCTAAGAGAATTTCTACGTAGACATAACAAATGTTGTGACACTTCGCTGAACAGAGTGTAGCCTTTGTCATTGTGTTTAAACAACCGACGCCTTGAACAAGTAGGTTATAAAATGAAAAGTGTAATATGTAATAAATTATCTTGTACGACAGGAAACAAACTTCAATTACATGTAGGTAATTATTTCTTTTGAACTATTATAAGCTTAAATTTTTTTTCGCTATTATAGTTTTGTTGCGCCACTTATCCAATTATTATAATGCAATTGTGATAATTATTTTTATATATTATTTCTATATTAATGATAATTATTATATCTATTTTTATTAATAATTATGATAATTTTTCTGTATTAACGGGAATGCTGTTTTTTTTTTATTTCATCAATCATCAACAGCCTTTACTAGTCCACTGCTGGACATAGGCCTCTCCTTAGAAAGGAGGTTTTGGTCTACTATACCACGCTGACCAGACGGGTTAGTATAGGGTATGTTTCAAATTTTCCTTCTCTTTGCAGTGCTGTTGTCCTGCGTAGTTTACTCCCTTAGTCGGCTCTTACGACACCCACGGGATGAATGGGAGTGGTGACACTCTGTATTCTTAATCCGTCACCACACCCTCACGACTTTTTTTATTTATACAAGCTGTTATAAACGAACAGCAGAAAATTGTATTCCTTTAATGATGCCATTAATTTGGAATGTAGGTATTTTTATGTTGTTCCATAGAGCGCTTGCCTGAGAGCGAGGCAATCACAGTCCCGAGATACCCCGTGGGGTCCGGTGAGTTATCATTTTTAACCGACCTCAAAAAAAGTAGAAAGTTCTCAGTTCATCTGTATTTTTTTAATGTGATGAACATCAATTTCGGAGTTCCACAGGACAGCGTTTTGGGGCCTACAATCTTTTTTTTAACGAAGTTTCTTATCGCCTGTTACGCGCTCTGAGCGGATGGGAGTTAGACCTAAAAATGTGGTACAAGACTTTTTCCGACACTTTTTGCTATAGTACACATAGATCTTTTAAACTAAGCAACGGATTTTAACACGGTTTTCGCCAATAGAGAGAGTGATTTAAAATAAAGATTTATGTGTATAATACGTGCATATTATAGAAGAGTAGTAGAGTTTCAAAGATTTGTCGTAAAAAACATGTTTTTGTGCCCTTAAATTGCAAACACTGGCTAAACCTTACGAAATAGACCAAAATAATGTTCTACGAAATTGCATATCTTAAAAAGGTCCGCAAAAAGTCTGCAAAGGTATACGTCAAACTGAAGGATAAACCACAGTAACCATTTTTATCTTTTAAATATTACAAAAAATAATGGGTTATTTACGAAGCTATTTCAAACAATACCTTACTTATTTACTTATGTAATTAAATAGGTACGTTAGATACGTTGTGCATTTAATGTAAATTAAAATTGATATTCACAGCATATTATTCAATTGAATATTTTAGAAGAGATTAGAGGTTCAAAATGCAGGGGCAAAGCGGCCGTCGCCGTGTCGCCGTCGGGCTGTACGTCCGTCCCGGGTGGCAACGGCCGGCAGAAACGAAGCGGGCCTATATAACTATATTGCATATAAAGATTTCCTGTAGTATAGTCTTATTAACGTCCACCATAAATCAAAAGGAACTTATGCCGACCGGGGTCCATAGACCCCTAACGCCGTTATTTTAATTAAATTGCTTTAGCTTTAGTTGTTGCCGGCATATATCTTGACCGCTCCGCGGCAGAGTGGAGATCACTTTGCGCATCTTGCACTTATGGCAAAATAAAATGCACACACAGAATAAAAAAGATCAAAACCACCATGGATTTTTAGACGTAGTTTTCACCATTGTTTTTAATTAAAAAATGGTTTTAAATAAAATTTTAATAAAAAACATGTAGGTATTTATTTTTGTTTGTATTTTATATAAATATTCTCTCTATAAAATTATTACGGTGAAATAGGAGTGACACCTTTCATAAAAACACTCTTATATTAAGTTGGTACTGGTTCTATAAAGTTACTTACTACTACTACTTACGGGGACCTTAACGTTTGACAGCTGATTGCATAAAACTTTTAATTTTTCGGCAGAAAATTCTAATGATTTTCGACTCAGAAATTCGTCTGAAATTCTGCATACACTATTTCAGTATTCGTTACACTGTCCTTTGGTCCTATTCAAATTTGAAAAAAAAAAATTTACCCCTAGGGGTAAAAATTCAGGAATGAAGGGTACACTTTATTACAATCCAGCAGGAATGTGTATTAAAGTCGGTAATACTTTTAATAGAAACTAAGCAAATAATAATAAGATAGAACAGATCATTGGACTGAGGACAGATCTACGATTGTGTTTTATTTAGAAAAAGCGTACTAGCACGACTTCATACGCAGTAGGAAATGCTAAGTTAAAGACCGTTTATGAATAATGCAAAAGAAATTATATACAGACATGATGCTTAAAGTAGGTATTATCTGATGCTTAAAATAGGTAAACTAAAAATTTACTGTTTTCATAAATATGCAAATATCAGGCAAAGAACACTTAAATATTAATATGCACATACACATTATCACATCAACAACCTTTAATAGTCCACTGCTGGGCATAGGCCTCTCCTTAGAAAGAGGTTTTGGCCTACTATACCACGCTGGCCAGACGGGTTGGTATAGGGTTTGTGTCAACTTTTCCTTTTCTTTGCAGTGCTGCGTAGGTAGCGTTAGTCGTCTCCTATGACACCCACGGGATGAATAGGGGTGGGAATATTCCGTATTCTTAATCCGTCACCACACATGTCTGATATGCATATACACGCATATAATGTATATACATTATTATACAAATACACACATAAATATATTATGACGATACATGAAAGATAAGATGATTCTGCTAATAGGGTCTATAGATAAAAATATAAAATATATCTATACTTAAAATAAATTGTTTACCTAACAGTTTTCATAGAGTTAAGTAAAATATAAAAATGTGAAATAATGTGAAACACCACTTTCGTACTATTTTCTTATTATTTAATCATATATAAGTTAATTTAGCAATAGCCAATTATGACATTATATATATTAATTTCTTACAAATTTCTACTGTTGAACCGTCTTGGTTTTTGATAAAAAAATAAACATTCAATAATTTTATTAATGTTCATTTAATCATCATTTTCATCATCAGGTTAATACTTAACTTTTCGGCAAATGTTTTACCGGTCCTTATATATGTCTAGGACTATTCCTAATACGTTGTACAGCCGAGTATCTAAAAATATAATTACGTCAGTTTGTGTTAAAACCAGATGGAGCACATGTGACAAAACAAACAAAACGAAACTTGAGATTATGTGACCTCTATTCGTCTCATCGATGTAGTTTTAAGTTTTTTTAGGAAACAGGGTGAAAATCAGCAGCAATCACCTGATAGTAAGTACAAATAGCATTAACCTACTAAAGTGTAAACAGCGACCTTAGGTACCTACAAACAGTACTAAACTAAACAGTAGTAAAGGGTCTACCTTTTGTGCGACTGAACACTGTCTCCCAATATACAGGCTGCGGGCCTAGTTTGGGAGTCCGTATAAGTACAAATGTAATAAATATCCAAAAACTGTGCTTAAGTTTAAAATAATAAAATTTCGGACATCTAACACACAACGCCATCTACTTTCAAACTAAGCAAGAGCTTGTACTATGAAAGTTAGATTGACTGATAGAATACTTTTATAGTTTTTTTTTGTAAAAACATACATAGAACATTTTATACATAGAAAACACCCAAATTCCGAAACAAATATTTGCAGAACATACACACATTTGGTCCGACCCGGGAATCGAACCCGTGACCTGAGCCGAGCAGTCGCATACGCTACCACCGCACCTCCGAGGCAGTCTACTAATACTACAATGGCAACGCGTTTGTGACTCCAGAGTTGCAGACGTTAATGGGTGGCGATGATCACTTTTCTTCAGGTGACCCGTCTGCTCTAAATTAAAGAAAGAAAAAACTAATGTCAGTAACTTATGTGTCAATAATCATTTTTTTTTACCATGGATCACCATGGACACAAGAGTTTGGAACTCAAGAGTCATAAGTATATTGTCCGCCTTTTAGTTACGCGTTAACATTAGGGAAAAACTTTTCCGGTAACCTCAGTCACTTGGAGAAATGCAACGAAAAAATAGCTCGAGTCGGCCCATTTGTGCCGAAGCATGGCTCCCCTACGGTTAAACATTAAATTTAAAGAGATATTCTTCATTCAACAATTTGTGTGTGTGGGTGTATGTGTGCCCGGATGTCTTAATTACCTAAATCGGTGTAATGATTTATTTTATAAAATTAAAGAAAAATAAGTACGACACTAGCAATGCTTGTCTTTGAACTATTTGTAGTTGGATTTTGCAGTCATTAAAACTATTTATTCTGTGTTACTATGCTGTTATTGTTAGCAATGGATTACTTTTACAATGTTATGTTTTAAAGACGGTTGAACACAGCTCTATACCTTTTATTATAATTATTTAAGACCGCACTATCTGTCGTTGATACGTAAAAGGATCTAGACTTGTGTATTTAGGTAGAATTTAATTTTATTGTTACAAATGGCGTATGGGGGACTTTTCAAAGACATGTCAATAAGAACATGAATTAATTTTAAAAGGTTTAAATTAAATTGTTAATAAAACCGTCTCTTTAATTTCTTTACACGGGTTTTATTGGAGTATTCTATCGGCTCCATTTTTTTCAGCACTTATGATTACATCACCTAAGCTTTTAACGATCCTGTCTGCTAAGCCAGAGGTTGGGTTTGATGCCCACTTAGGGAAAATATTGTCCGATGTATTGTTATATCTGGGTAAAATGTTCCGTTATGACACTAGAATGGCCGGCTATTACGTAAGTGGAACTAAAATTATAGTAGGTAAAATGCTATCAATACACCTTTGTCTATTCCTTGGGAGATAAAATCTCGTCTATATGTACCTATTTACGATAAAAATAATTATATTCTTATTGATCATATTAATAACGGGTTTCCTGTTATGTTACCAACAGTATATGCCAACATAAAATGAGGAAAAGTTCTTAATTTGAATATGTATTTTGTTATTAAATATAGTTACCGTTAATTTTATTGACAAGGCAATTATGAAAACAAGTTGTTGAAATGTCGAATGAAGATGGTTTGTTACCTGCCTGTAAGGGCACATTCAAATTTTATCATTATCATCAATTGTTATCATTATCGCCCTGCGCTGAACATATGCCTCGCCTTAGAAAGGAGGTTTTGGCTTACTATATCACACTGGCCAGACGGGTTGATATAGGGTTTGTGTCAAGTCATGCGATAACGCTGATCTGCGATGCGGCCATGCCCCGCATCCGAGGTCGTCGACCTCCGAGGAAGGACGTTTAGTGGTGTTGGAGAGTTGGTGGACCTCCGCGCGGCCTGTACTCGTGCCCGGAGGTTTTAAACCCGCTGTCTTCAGCGTCACCGTGGAGATGGTAATAATTCATAAGTAATACCGAGAGGCGCGGCAAACTCTGAAGCCATTAGCCGCGCCAAATAAAAAAAAGTAGATGCTGGAGGGTCTTAGCGCACGGTGCGGCGGAAGCTCCGCACGGCGGCTCCCCCCTCCTTACAGAGACTTCCAGGCCAGCTGCCTGCAGAAAGTGGTTCTTAATCCGTCACTACACGGACAAGTTCAAAGTTTATACCGATTGCCATTCGAGAATCTTCTTTCATTCGAGAATTCTCTAGGTCCAACTCTAGTGCCTTATTATAAATTTATTAATCAGGTTATTGAGGATCTTATCATAAGGGGAATAAGTTTACAGAAGAGATGGAGTAAGACTACGTTCTTAAATAAACTACCTTTAACAGCTGAAGTACTTTAGTTGCTTATCAAACGAATGATTTCCAAAAGTTATTGAGTGCTAACTTTGTTTTAAAAATGTTTATGACCGCGGACATCTTTTCTAACCAAATTAATTTAATATATATGTATGATTCTTAATTTCTCACAATCACTGTCACCTGATAGCCAGTGGTAAAGTGTGTTTATATGCATTCGCAAAACTATTTGCCACTTTTACCGTTGTAGCATGTGCGTTACATCAACGTCCAATGTGGAAGTTTTTGGAATAACACTACTGAGCTGCAGATGCTGATGTATAAAATAACTTGATTATATCTAAGCACAATAGGAATCATCGCCAAACATCATCTTGTATATGTAATATATAAATTATATATATAAATCATAATACATGTTTTCGGCTATGTAATAACATTAAAAACATTTTATTATAATTTCTATGTGTATTACATTACATATTATGTAAAACTGGAATATACAAGAAAACTTTGTTTAATAATAGAAGGTACGATTTATTTAATTTATTCATTTATTTAAATTTCTTGCAAATAAGTTGCACTTGCTAGGCGGAGTTAATGCCACAGACGTCTATATCCAGTCATATCTTAGGTGTTTCAAAATTGCTGTGTGTGGCAGGTGTATATTTCAAACTAGTAAGACTACAATAACGTATGTTACAAAAATAATCTATAAATATATATCAGGTATACATACATATACTGTAAATATACTATATTCATACTTATACTATAAACAAATAAAATTGTATTGTTTGTTTGTTGCGCTTTCGCGCCTAAACCACTAAAACGATTTTAAACATTCTTTCACCAATGGAAAGCTACATTATCAGCGGGTAACATAGGCTACTCTAAACCGCGATAACCGACATACAAGCGGGCGGAACCGCGGGCAAACGCTAGGTATAGTATAAATATCAAAATTTATTTATAAATACATACATAAATAATAATATACTCCTGGTGTTATTCTCATGTCTCCGTCATGAGTCTCTAAAGAGCTAGCGTAAATGAAGCTTGAAAGGCGATCGGTTATTGGACATCCTGATTTATTGTGGAAGTGCATTCCAGAGATTTACAGCTTGGACAGCGAATCAAGAAGGGACTATACTGGAAATATGTAAGAGACAAAGGAGAAGAAGATCATTAGAAGAGCGAAGATTCTGTCATAGCGTAGTAGGTGAGTGGAGTAGAGAAGGGAGTACAACATAGTCGGCGTCCTTAAACTACGGCGGATTGCGTGATACATATTTGGAGTCATTTTATTTAACTAAATGAAAATAGTTTCAATGGATTTCTGTTGATCCGACCCGTAATCTCAGCTGACAATTTACCTAAGCTGTAAAGGGACAGTAAGAGTCTTAACTTTCTCTGTCGAAAAGTTACCCGGCCATGATAGTAGACACGGTCTTATGGCCCTTAGCCTGACTCCTAATTTTAACTGTCAACGATCGTCATTTTTATATACGTCTAATGTGTAAGGGTGAAATACCTTGGAGGTTTTTCACCACTTTTCGAGAGATTAACTGGTTGTGCTCTCTCAACAGACATGATCCTTTATCAAGTTTGGTTTGTAGATCAGTCACTAGTCTAAAATAGGCCAATTCTTTAATTACATTGGAATCACCTTATAGGTTATGAAGTAACTGAATTTGTTTTAAGTGGTTACAATCTAACGTTTAAATTACCATAACTTTTGGTTGAATTATTCTAATTTGAAGCTCGATATTTTTTTTCGGGCCCATTCAGGTATCGTTTACATAAGTAGTAATGTCACTTTTAACTTGGTACCTACAATAGGCGAAAATCGAACCCACGGTCTCTGGCTTAGGAGTCACAATCACTAACCACTAGAGCAACAGTCCCGTCATTTCTCCTTACTAAAGAATTTCTATTTGTTTTAATGGCTCCTAGAAATAAAGTACGCGCATTCTTGCTAACCTCTCTATTCAAGCGAAATGTTTCATTAGTCATTGTCGTGAAAGAAGTGGGGTTCGAATCTACAACCATTTGATCGCCATTGCCATTAAATTAGTACTTAACACAGCTCGCAATTTTTGTAGTTTATGTTCAAGAACTTTGTGTCTCCTATGTTGGATCACAAAATAAAAAGTGTCACTTGATTAGTTCACAGAATTATAAATATGTAATTATGAATATTTTAATATTAACATAAATGCGTCAGCCTTTCGTGATAGTCATAACAAGTGCTAAGTTGCTATGTAAACAAAAAGTGGTAGTAGTAGTTGCTTACCTATTAAAGCGGTGAGTATTTGCCTTTTTGCACTACTTTCGTTTTTCCTTCGGTCCATATTGGCTAAACAATACGTGATTCAAAAACCAAATTAAACAAAAAAATTGGAGGTTATTTTCTTATCGAGATACAAAACAGCACTGATTTTTAAAAAAGAAATCGCAACTATTTCATCAATTTTAATTACTATCTGATATTATTTTTGTTTCACACGACGATTTATGTTATTAATTTTCATGCGCCTGCGCTTCAACTGACGTCTGTCAAACGACTACTTTTTATAACCTATAATTGCACGCGTGAGTGCTAGCTAACTGTTGTACAAACTCAAAGTGATATCATCTTTTACTGTTCAACGTTACTGGTCTCTATTTCCTTGCACATAAAGTTTAAAATTAGTTATAAGAAGTCCATTAGCTGCACAGTTATACAGCACTTGTGCCGGTTGACCGATTGGAGCTACCGTTCGTTATCTAATTTGTAATCGAAAAGAGACCTTATGTGTTTGGTAAAGGGGATATATCAAATTTTCTTAACTGTAGAATAATTATGGCGACCATGTGTGTAATAATGGGTTTCCCTACATGTTCGAAGAAAGTGTGAATGAGTCCGTGGTACAGGAGTAGAGTAACACAATAGCGTTATGTAACCTGCACATGGGGAATTTTCATTTTTATTTAATTGAAATCAATTCATACCATAAATGTCCTAGACTTTATGAGTAGTCAGGATTGTCATTGTTCCAAATTGAGAAGAAATCAACACGTAATCGTCAAGCAGCAAGTGCTGGGATATTTCTGAGAGTGAAATGAAAACAACTTTTGTTTCTTTTTTGTATTTCATTATTTTCTGACACGAAAACACAGGATACTTGGCTCTAAGGTGTTTTAAAAATGTTCACATAGATAGAATTCGATTAAAACCAACCTGCTAATTGTGACTTCTAATTATTTATAGCAAGGTCAATGTATTTATTACATTATGATTCAGAAATAACGAACACACGAACAAAACTAGGCAGAGCATGTACTATGGTACCTAGACTGCTGATAAACAAATTTCTAAATACATACAATGTGTGTATTTAGAAATTTATGTATGTATTTATGTATATATACTAAGGGCGCAAAACAACGCAGAACACCAGCACTGCAAAAAGAAGGAAAACTTGACACAAACCCTATACCAACCCGTCTGGCCAGCGTGGTATAGTAGGCCAAAACCTCCTTTCTAAGGAGAGGCCTATGTCTAGCAGTGGACTAGTAAAGGCTGTTGATGTGATGTGATGTGAAGAAACAAATGACAGGTAAGAAATACAGGTACAAATGATCGTGCTCATCACACAATTATTTATTCTGGGTGGTATTTTCCTGGCCTTATCCTGATTAAGACTAGGTCAGAGGAATGTATAACTTGTATAACAACAGCGGAAATCCCCTCGGATACCACCCACCGGTGGTGTGGTTATGTCGGACTCGAACCGACCAAAAAGCGCACGCCGTCTCTGGTACTAGTTGCCGGGGAACCAGATGTATAGACGAGTCCCCTACAATAGGATTATGTCAATGCGATTAACCACTCTTGCCTCACTTTTAAAGGATTAAAGCAGGCTATTAGTTGCTTAAGGCGCGGTGCGTGGATGAGTACATCAAAGGATCAGGAAGAATCACGAGGAAGCATTCTTCGAAACATACAACATCTAGTTTAAAAATGTAATATTCAGATAAAATTTACATTATATTTAAACATCCGCAAAACTAATTTAATTTAATGATAATTTATGAAAATCACATAATTCTATGATTTCTATTAGTATTTGATTTGGTTAATACTTTCATATTTTGTTAACGTCTAGAAAGCAAGAGTTACGTTATTAGAATTCAAGTTTTTAATTCTGAATTATTGAACGATACACGTGTGCCGTTAGCAGAAGACCACTTAAGATAAACAATAAAATGTAAACTTGCTGAATATTTTTATGCTTTGCCTTTTAATGTCTGAAACTGCGAGTACGACAAGACAATGACAACGTTCGGCATCATCATCATCATCATCAGCCTATCGCAGTACACTGCTGGACATAGGCCTCTTCCATTGCACGCCACTTAGATCGATTTTGGGCTTCTCGCATCCAATAATAATAATACGTTCGGCATACTGCTGGGTAAAGTGAGATCCGGCTAACCTCCCGTGGAATTTTTAAATTATTAAAAAAAAAAACACGATCAGGTCGGATCAACCGCAAGGAAAAGGTAGTTATATTATACTCGCATCAGTTATAGATACTGTTTTGATTCATTAGATAAGCGATAAAGATTTCACTTAGCAGTTGGATTTACAGATTTCTCGGTTGCTTATTTGAACATCCCGAATCAAAAATGTTCTAACTGACTTGCTAACTGAATAGTTACTACTACATTACTTTTCATAATTCTTTCAAGTCAACTAGATTATTGGATATTTATTTTAATATTCCAATTAAAAAAGAAATTGTCTGGCTGCGGTAAAGTTACCTCAGCAGAAAATGATTCTGTGAAATAACCAAATAACTATAAGTGAAAAAATAAATAGAAATGTGCTCAACAATTACAGAAGCTGGGCCACTGATTATCTATTAGTATTTAAATTACTATTTTCGACATTATTTTGCTGTTATAACACGCACGCTCAATCCACTTCACTTCACTTCCGGTTTAAATGGTGATTTAATTAAAACTATTATCACACCATATAGCAATTTATTTTATTTTAAACTTACTTACTTCTATTTTAAAGCCTGGAACGTCTACGTCTGCAGTTATGATAAACAAAATGCAGCAGTATTATCTGGAAATGAAGTTGAACATTCAATTACTAATCGAACATCTACTGGGTCTGATTTTAGACTATCGTTTTCCTTGAATAATCCAATTTGAACAAAGGTGCCTTTATTTTAAAGTCGTTTAGACTGAGTGCCGGGTCTACTGAAAAATTGCAATAGGACTGACGAAATTTAGGGTACAATTCGTAAAATATACTGTATTTGTACTCATAAAAGTTTAAGCTTAAAGATTCATTTGGACAATATTGTGGATTCAAAAAGAGAGTCACATTTGTTACTTCACAATAATCAAAGTGAGAAATGTCTACTGTCTGTCTATGTCGATTTATTATTATATATTATTGGAACGAAGTTCCTTATCGCGCGTTGTGAAAGGGGGCTAGACGGAAAAAAATCATACAAAAATTTGGGACGCGACACTTTTTTATTAATATAAATTGACGTCTAACTGTGGATACCATACATTAAATTTGCTTTAACGTTCGCCAACGTCCATACCATGTTGAATACACCGGTTCTCGTCCGATCACCGAAGTTAAGCAACATCGGGCGTGGTTAGTACTTGGATGGGTGACCGCCTGGGAATACCACGTGATGTTGGCTTTTTGTTCTTTATTTAATTTTTTACCGCAGGTTTTTTTTTTTGGTGTATTTCGTATTTTGTTTTCGTATTTTATTTTTCTTAGAATTTTAATTGTATAGTTTTTTTTTTGTGTAAGTATGTAAATGTGAGTATAGTGTAGGCTTGTAATGTTAATTCATATTTTATTATCTTTCTGGTGGTTTTGAGTGTATCCACGGCCTACCCAAATGTCAACATTATATTTTTTTCTTGAAATTTTGAATTTAGGAAATAAAACTAATTAAATATATTTCAAAACACTTTAATGATCAAAAGAAGTTGATGCTATGTACACTATTACCCAGATTTCAGTCAAAGTTTTTTTAAAATTAAAGTAAATCTTATTATAACATACAACGTAAGCCATGAATTTGATGAAAGTATGAACTATGATTAGTAATAATATTTTTTCGTGTCATCTTGTCAGACATTCAGCGCCATCTATCGAATAGATAGGAAATCATTTCGCAAGGAGATTTTACCAATGTATAAATTGTTTTAATTGTTTTTAACATGTAGGTAATAGCCGCTTTCATAGATGGCGTTGTAATTAATATCGTGTCAAATCAGTTTTAACTTTAAACAACTTCGTTCCTATCGGGTGTCCCACGACACCACACGGCTTTTTTAGTATTTTTCTAATTATTTTTATGCAGAAAATTACATTTCTAGGCTTCTTTAATTGTGATGGGTTTAATGTTACTTACGGTTGGTAAGTCGCAATAAAGCAAACAATCCTTTTCACCGGTATAGTTTTAATATTCACACTACACACACGACACAAAGATTACAGTTTACTTAGAAGGCCCAATAGAATAGTTAGAACGGTAACGAGTACATAGAACACAACATAAATAATACACATACGATTAACACTATATAAATAACTATATACGAAGATATTATATTAGTTATCACAATATATTTAGCACAGGGCACTGAATACAAATCGCGGCTGTAGCAAGCTGTGACTGGTGATAGGTACAACGTAAAATATATTCTAGACGTCTACCTACATTTTGTAATATCGTTGAATGTGTAAAAAATGATTGTAGATAAATACTATTAGTTATAATAATGTAATATTTGTATCTTTATAATATATGTTGAATTATAAATTGAAATATTGTATAATGTAAATATTAATTAAATATATACATAAATATTGTTTATGGTGAAAGTAAATTTACAGTGTGTGTATGTATGCCACCTACACCTTGTAGGTTTAAGAAGCAAACGGTACTTATAAAAATCCCAATTTTAAAATGCTATTTGAATAGGTTTATCCCTTTCTAGATATTATTAAAGTAAGTCTTTCTCGATCTGACACTTTTATATATGATATTTTCCATTGAACCCTTACTATTTTGAAATGAACAATATCATCAGCAACTTTACACTTTACGGGGGACTTTACAAACATACATGAAACGAACACAAAGAACACCCAGACTCAGAGCAACAATTTGTGGATCACACAAAGTGCCGTCCCATGTGGGGTTTGAACCCACAACACACGGCGCAGTAGGAAGCGGCGTGGCGACCTCTTAAACCACTATGCCATCCGTGCAGTCAAAATAAATAATAGATAAATAGTTAAGTTGGGGTAGCGGATACTTTAGTTTTTTAACATCATATAATGACATTTCAACTAACATCTGAGAGCCACCTCTAGCACCGTTTCCTTGGCCTCATGTTACACAGTTCCGTCCCTTTGTCATTATTTTTTTATTTAAATTAATAAAGAAAGATTTATTCGTACACAAACATTCGTCGCTATACTCAATCAACACAATTTACAACTTAACAATCATACCTAATACACCTACTCTACGACATACATAAATACATACACTCAATGAAAATAAAAGAACCGGACAAGTGCGTGTCGAGCCACGCCCAATGTAGTGTGTAGTAGTTATTTCATAGTGTAAACATTTCACATTAATGGTTTCAGCGCCATAAAATGTGGAATTAGTTGGTCGGCTATTACTCGTACACTAATAACTCTTAGCTGTTATACTTTTTCTTTTTAATCTATACTAATATTATAAAGCTGAAGAGTTTGTTTGTTTGTTTGTTTGTTTGTTTGTTTGAACGCGCTAATCTCAGGAACTACTGGTCCGATTTGAAAAATTCTTTCAGTGTTAGATAGCCCATTTATCGAGGAAGGCTATAGGCTATATATCATCACGCTAAGACCAATAGGAGCGGAGCACCAATGAAGAATGTTTCAAAAACGGAGAAAATTTATTACTATTGAGAGACGCAGACGAAGTTGCGCGGGTCAGCTAGTTTGTTATATATGCTACCGTGAATTTTTTCAGATTTCCTAATACTACCATTTGGCTAGGAAGGTACTTGTCTGTAGCATAATCAGCGCTTTAAGGCTTAAAATCTCGCAAACGGATAACCTTACTCAAACCTTAATCAAAATATAGTCTTCACAAACTCTTATTATTTTTAAAAGACCTATCCAATGACACCCCACATCATGGGATGGATGAATATAAAAAATAACACCCCCACTTTAAAGGTACTAGAGGTAAAAGGTCATAAAAAATATTTTCAAGATTGTTGATTAGTATGTATGTTCATGCGAAATTACAGGTTTCTAGCATTAATAGTTCGTGGTTTCTATGAGATACGGTGTGGACCGACAGACGGACTAACGGAAGAACGGACATGACGAAATTACAAGGGTTCCGTTGTTACCATCTTGGATACAGAACCCTAAAAGCATAAGTACGTGGGTATGGTTAAAGCCGAATCTAATAATTATATGCATATCGCAGGCGTGCAGGTGTTATATCACAGTTTTATTTACGTTAGCGTTAGCGATTATATCACTCTCTTAGATTGCAGTACAGTGAGAAGGAAAATGATACACATTAAAATCGACCTAATACTTAACAAAAAAATTCTCTCCCCAATTTGCAACTAGGTCCGCCAACTTCGACTGTTTTATATTTGCCAATGTTAAATAAATCAAGACATAAATCAAACCAATAATAATATTTATCCATTATATATGTAGCAATATAAAAGTCATTTCAAGATTTTACAAATATTTTTTTCCTTTCCTTTTCTACGTAACACTTTTTTTACAATATGAATAAATTATGCACACTATTATGCGCTATTACGATTTTTTCAGAAAGTTTGGGAAGAATGAGAAGACTATCAGGTAAGAACACTTATCTGGCCAATCCACTCATAATTGTACCAAACCAATCTTATTTTTTTTGTGACGCATCTTTACCGAAACATTGTCACTCAATTACGCCTGTAATTGCTTTTCATATTGCAATAACAGTCTTATATATTTATTTACCCAAGGACTAAGCCCATTGAAATTGTATATGCTCTACATTTAAAACAGAAAAGTATAAATCAATGGACAACATCTTATCTTTTCACATGCCATACATATGTATGCGATGTTACCATCCGTGTGGTGACGGATTAAGAAAACAGAGTGTCATCAACCCTATTTAACCCGTGAGAGTCGTAAGAGCCGACTAAGGGAGCTAATGACACAGGATAACAGCACTGCAAAGAAAAGGAAAACTTGAAACAAACCCTTTTTTTTGTGTTGTTGTTTGTTGTTGTTGTTATGTTACTGGACTGTCTTTGTTAAATATTTTTTCGTATTTTAGATTATTACGGACCTCAATTTTACAAGTACTCTGCCCGCCGAAGGCACATTGAAAAGCTTGTTCTTCGAATGCAGAATGAGCAACCTAAGCATCATGGCAAACATTCTTTAAGAATACTTGGGGGCAACGTTAGTGATACCAGTAACTATCCATATATGGCTGCAATAATTATAAACGGAAGATTATGGTGTGCAGGAGCAATTGTAGATGTCAATTGGGTGCTAACTGCTGCTCATTGTTTGAACTAGTAAGTCATCATCACGCTAGTATCGCTGAGGTTTTTGGGACCAGTGGGTTATGGGACCGAGGTGAGTGGGACCGCACGGCTGCAATTCGGTCCCACTCATATATAGTGCCAATTCGAAAATAAGCCAATACGAAAATTGGGAGAATAAATAAAAAGAGAAAGATAGGTCAGAAAAGAAGGTAATAAAAGTTAGGGTTATTGTCAACCAGGACAAGTTAGTCATACTTGAAATTCGAAGTGGCTGTTGCCACGATATCTGGGCCCTCCAACGCATGTCAGTTACTTGTAGGTCCCAAAATCCATTAGAAAGGAGCTGACGATCTTGAAACGGCTTGAATTATAACTGAGAAAACAATTTTAATCAAATCACTATTAAAATAAAGTCTAATCCAATAAAACTAAAGCCAAATGTGTGGATTTTGATCACTCCGCCACGATATCAAAACAGAAAAAAAAACTATGTCGAAAAATAATTATAAGCTACCGATAAATATTTCACGAAATATTAATCTGAAAAATTATGGCTGTGCAAAATCAGTCAAAAACAAAAAGTACGTGGCCGCGCAGTCGAAACGTTAGTTTGTAGTCTGATATCTCATTATCTATAAGCACTAGGATTTTGGTGTGAAAATCCATTTATTCGACATATTAACCTCATTGGAATGACATATCATTTTAGAGGGGGCAGACGAGCAGATGGGTCACCAGATGGAAAGTGACTATCGCCGCCCATGAACGTAACATATTATTCAGCTAACCTCTCATCTCCGTCGTCAACTGTGAAGTCACTAGAAGTTTTTAAATAAATCCTTCTTTCTCAGTGTTCTTCACGTATCACCACTCAAAAATTTGGGTAAGTACGTAAAGATACGAGTAGGAAGTACTCGTCCTCACGAAGGTGGCATTTTGGTTGACGTCGCGGGAGCTGTCAGACATCCCAAGTTCGAGGAGGAACCGGTACCACATGCTGACGTCGCGTTATTGAAGCTCAAGGAAAATCTTCGTAAGTATCTCAGGGAACTTGCAGCTTAAACTTTCTTGCCTGACTGCGCGAATGCAATACAGTTATCTATATATTAAAACACACACAGTTGAAAATAAAAAAAAAAATAGTTTTGCGGGAGATAAAACTTTTTCGGTTTTATAAAACAATTTTATAAAACAGTTCTTTTTTCTTATATAAGGCAATAGGGTACTTGAAAATTATATTGATTGCAGCGTTGGGTACACTCGTGAATATTATTAAGATATACCAAGGGACGGTGCAGCCCTTCGCTCAGAGTTTTGTCTCCGTGTCGGGTTGGGGCGCCAGTAAGGTAATATTTTGCTTCATTATATTATAGTTTGTGGAGTTTGAACAAATATAAAACACAGAATGTGATTTTTAAAGTTTATAGGAAGAAGAAGCTCTACTCTTTTTCATATATAACATTTTTTAAATACTATATTCCTCATAAATTAAAATAACAATGAAAAATAGTTACTCCAAATATAGATACATATTGAGCACCTATGTGTAAATCTATGAATTAAAAAATATTTCTGTTGTTTGTAAATTCTAATTGACAAATTGCTCATCGATATCGCAATGGACCTCCTTTTTAGATCGTTCTGTCTTGCGCGAGTATACACAGGTTCACCATAGCCAACCTCTTGAAGAAAGTTAACTTTGAACTCAAATTGTTTGAATTTTAATTGAAAAATTTAAACAGTCTGCTCCAAAGGTATGTCAGCATGTCGGCAGTTACGCAACGTCTTATCAAGAAAAAAAAGATGTTTTTAAAGAAAAATATAATGGTTATATATTTAATTAATTTTTCTTTACATTGAGATAACTAAAAATTTTCACTGAGTCCCATACTTACTTGCGCATACCGTATTAGACGCTTCATGCTTTCATGTAACGTTGCGACACGTCGCAGTCGGTCTGACCTGTCACGCATTAAATGTTTTACATCAATAATTTAAATAACAAAGCATTAGTAATATAGTCATGTTTATGTTTACTTTTAACGAGCGTAACAAATTTTCCTAATGACTTAGGGTTCATATACAGCCTTCAAAGATCCCACTCCAGATCTCATGACAGCTCGACTGAAAGTGCGAACGCAACACTTTTGCACAGATGCGTACCAGCTGGTGAACGGCTTGCAGATCACCCCTGATTTCTTCTGTGCTTCTCTTAGAAATGGAACTAGAGACGCCTGTTTGGTAAGAATATTTTTAAGGTAATTTATTTTTATTTCTCGAAAGGAAATAGTAACAGTTGTTCCTGTGACAAGGGTATTAGTATAGGTTACGATAAAATTGTTTGTTTATGTAATACATTACTGAGATATTTTATTAAAAAGGTATATTTTATTTTATTTTATAGGACTTAAAAAAATAGGAGGTTTTTAATTTAGTTCACCTCAGAACTCCGACATATGTGAACCGGTTTGGAAAATTCTTTTTTTTTTAATTTAAGAAGAGAAAAGTACAGCTTATTATAATTCGTCATGATGCAGGCACATAGTAGTCTATAATAATTTCTTAAAACTTTATCATTAACTTAACATAGATAGTTCTTTTTTGTAATGAGTGAGGCATCGTGTGAATAAATTATTTGACAATGTATTCGAAAAACAAAATGTTAAAATTAATAATGTCGCATGTTGTTTACAGTTCGACGCAGGCGCTCCGGCAGTGCAAGAAAACAGGCTTATGGGTGTTATGAGTTTCGGGCCAGAGCATTGCGGCCACCAGTACCAACCGGCTGTGTTCATTAAAGCATTTTATATAAGGTACTACTATTTAGTTAAGCCGTCTCACTTATTCAAATAATTTATACTTACTTATATGACTATTGTGAAAGTGAGTTGGTTTGTTTGTTACGCTTTCACGCCTAAACGACGACATACACGTGGGTAGAGCCGTGGGCAAAAGCTGGTAACAATATATTGGTTTATCTAACACAAAACATTTTTAACTTAGGGTAACAAGTTTAATAAAGGAGTGTACTATACATACATACTGGTAGACCTCAAAGACTTACATTGATGTGTATTTTGTTTATATTTTCTAAAACATTGATTTGTATTCTGACAGTATTCATAACTATTAGATTCGTATTTTTAAGTTAACGCCAAAGGAGAAAGTATTTTTTTAACAGACTCCAAAAAATATGATTTTTAATCGGGCTGATTTTTTTTTTATTGTTTAAAATTTTCTTTCATATTTGAAGAGTTAATTTTTGTCTTAGGGTTGAAAAAGTTTATTTCAACGTACTTTGATCCTTTTTTAAATTATATCATCATCAGCCTATCGCAGTCCACTGCTGGACATAGGCCTCTCCCATTGCACGCCACTTAGATCGATTTTGGGCTTCTCGCATCCAGCTCCTGTCAGCCATCTTGCGCAAATCGTCACTCCACCTAGCCTGTGGGCGTCCTACACTGCGTTTGCCGAGACGCGGTCTCCACTCAAGAACTCGTTTTCCCCAACTTATACAACTATTACAAAAATTATATAATCATTCCTAATTAACTGTCATTATTAACATAGTTTGACTAGCCTTAGATAGTTATACGAGTATATTATATAATTCAGTGCAAGTTAAAATGAGCTATTTTCTGTTATCTTTGTCCTACGCGGGAATCGACCCCGCGACACTTGACTAAATAGGCAAATTTGCTGCCATGGAGCTAACGAGACAATCAAATTACAAACTTAAAACTTGTACAATAAGACTAATAATAATATATGTGTGCATATTTGTGTATGTGTAAAATATATGTAAATGGGTAAAATGTAATGGGTAAATAGTGTAGGTATCCAATAAATAGCTTAATGATCTTCTTTTGTTTATATAATACATTCAAATTTTATTTTATTTCTTTTTTTCTACTTATTCACTATTTTATGAACATTACCAGGAGCGGAGTCTCCTAACACGGGCTTCTTATTGCTTAATAGGAGACCCTAGCCCCTAAACTGTAAGATGTTTAATAAATGAATAAAGATTTTATTATTATTGTTCTGTAGGATGTTTTTCGCAAATTCATATTATAAATACCACCTGCTATCAGCTAACTCGTAGGCACACTGTACTTTATATTGTTTACAGAGATTTCGTAAAAGAAACGATAGCGGCATACAAAACTAATCAAGAACTGATAGAAGCGTTAGCGGAAGCTGAACCTGACTTCTATACACCTCACCCGGAGCCAGCTGAAGAAATGAGTTTTTTGAACGAGGCTCCCCAAATGATTGATGAATAAACATTGTGTGGACTAAATGTATCATTTAATTAATTCATTTCTATCAATGAAGGTGTTACCAGTTGTTGCTAAAGTTCAAACCATAATAAATTGTAATGCGTTGTTAGACAGTCAAGTCAAATCAGAGGGCCAAGTTCGAGTTTATTTCACATCGAGTCGCTCTCGACGGCGAGCGCGTTCGGCGTTGCAATTGGTTAAGATTTCAGTGCGGGTCAATCGCAGCGTCAAACGCTGTAGTTCATTAAAAATATGATGAGTTATGACATATTTAAGATAGTAATTGCCTTTTCCCAATTTTAACAACAAAATTCTCAAACAAAATCAAAGTAATACTAAATTTGTCAAAAAAAAAAACGTGTGCGTCTCGGGACGCCCGACAGAAGTGATAACTAAAACTAATCTAAGTTAAACTATTTAATATTGAAATTGCTTACCTTGAGAAAAGCTTAGGTTATTACTTACATTTTATGTAAAGCGTCTGACCGAAATACGGCTAGAGTTAGAGTGACAAAGGAGGAGCCCTCCTACCGCAGCCGTATGTGTGAGAGAAAAAGAAGCCAGACAGACTGGCGCCGCGCCGTAACGCGTAAGAAGTTATTACTTCAATATGTAGTTAGTTACATTTAACAATTATAAATAAAGGAAGTAAACATCTATAGGCAGTTCTACCGACTTATATTTACTCTATATTATCAAAAAGATTGAAATATTTGGAAAAATCAATAAATCACTTCCCTATAATTTGAAAATATATTACGTTTTTTTGAGGAAATGATTTATTGATTTTTCCAAATATGGCAATTTTTTTTACATCACCACTGATGAGCCACTGCCATTTAATAAGGTGGTATAATAGGTGGGAATCGAACTGGCTCAGCAGCCAGTATCGTTAGACCAACAAGCCTGTTAATATTGTTTTAATCCGTCTATTTCAATTTAGTTACAATATTAACAGTCTACCAAACCTTACTTTTGCATTATAATTAATTTTGGCGAAAAACATGTTTTTTCTTTTCAACAGTTTTATTATACCTAAACATCAAAATAAAACGTAAAAGTTATTTGCAATAAAATTTCAAACATAAATGTAAAAAACAATTTTAAGAAAGAAAAGTCGGTGTACCTATAGCAGTGATTTAGATGATGTGGAGAAGTATAGCTACGATAGCAGCAATATGGATTGGCGATGTAATATCAGCATCAGACGAGATCAGTGCTATGGATAGTGCTGTAACTTTAGAGAAGGCCAATGGAACTGGTACATCAGAAAGCGACGCTTCGTCATTAGGTAATGTGCTTCTCTTCAAGACGAGATAAGTTTGTATTTTTGGTAAATAACCAAAAAAAAAACACACTTATCTATAAGAAGATCGTCATACTCCGAAAAAAGCATTCGATGATGTTTTAGCATGTTATGGTTCTTTTAAAATTAGTGTAAAATAATCCTTATAGGAGAATGAATACATATGTCAGTTTTTATTAGAATGATTAAAATGGTATGGTGTATAATAAAATTAAACCTTAATTTTTTTTGAAATTATTTTTATTTCAAAATATTTGATTCTTTATTAAAACGCAGGTTACCTGTCGTGTTTGAGTACCTGTCCTTACACTACAAACTAACGCTAAGAAATTAAATATCCCTAAAGAATATACTAAGAGTATGAAAAATAATTTATCCGTGTGGTGACGCCTGTTAACCTCGAGGGTGTTGTAAGAGCAGACTAAGGCAGCAAACTACGAAGGTAATAGTACAGCAAACCTCCTTTCTAAGGAGATGTCTATGTCCAGTAGTGGACTACTAAGGGCTGTTGATGATGACGATGATTGATGAAGAAATTTAAAAGCTATGCCAACTAAGTAAACAAAAATAATTTATTTTTCATTTGTAGACATACACTTTGAAGCCCCACATGTCATCGAGCCTCAACAAATAAACTTCCATTTGGAATCGCCGGATGAAAATAATGTTCCTAAAATTAACTTCCGGTTTGAAATTCCAACAAAAAGTAATCCTCTATTCCAAGGACAGGCCTTGGAACCAGATGGAAGACGTCGATATCATAAGGCAGTTTTGAGAAGCTTAAACATGAAACCGCAGGTAGTCAACAAGAACAACATGAGAATAAGAATGGGAAATGCTACTGACACCAAAAATTTTCCTTACATGGCTGCCATTATTATAAATGGGAGGGTGTGGTGTGCTGGGTCGCTTGTTGACGAGAACTGGGTGTTAACGGCTGCTCATTGTTTGAATTTGTAAGTACTATTATTACTTTGATTGTTGCGCTTTCCCAAACTTTACCTCCTTACGCCTAAGCCTTTTTCTCAAACTAGGTCTGGGTCTGCTTTAAGTCTAATACGATACGGCTGAATTTCGATATCTTATGCGGAGCGTCTGCCATTAGACCTCTACAACCCAAGTACTAGGCGATAGCGAAGTTCTCTAAAAAGAATGTTGTCGAAATTTTCAGGGCACCCACTACCCGTAACGACAGATGTTCGAATGACCGACTCTCGAAACGTGCATGCCGAGGCATGAGGCGCTCTCATTGTGTTAAGAATGGTCACCCATCTATAGACTGACCTGAATAAGATTGCCTACCTTTGCAATGTGATAACCTGCCCGGTTACCATTTTACCAAGAGTCCCCTGATTGTTAGGCTTTATTAAAAATAATTAGTTTGTCTGCTATTGCTGTGTTAAAAAAAAACCCTTTCGCCTTCTTTTTTAGTAAAAATAAAGAAAAAGGCTTATTAAAAAAAAGGGAGCACAAGAAGGGATGAACGAATGTATGGAATTTAGTCACTTTTACAGTAAAAACACGAAATAAGAAATAGTAACGCGAGAGACAGTTCATATATAAAGTTAAATATAAAAGCACTAGCTTTTGCCCGCGGCTTCGTCCGCGTAAATGTCGGTTATCACGGTAAAAATATCTTTGTCCTCAAGAATCAAAGTATCTCCATACCAAATTTCATCTAAATCAGTTCAGCGGTTATTGATTCCCTATACAAACTTCCACCCCCTTTTCAACCCTTAAAGTATGATTTCTGGGATAAAAACTATTCTATATACTTTCCTGGGACTCGGACTATCTCTATACTAAATTTCACCTAAATATAATGAATCAAACAAGGATATAGCCCAAACGATACTCATAATAGTCTCACGTCGACTCAATTTATGCCCAGGTGTCTGTAAAATATTAACTATTTCTTTTTTCTTCAGTGTGCTTCACGTGTCTCCTCTGAAGTCATTGGGTAATTATGTAAAGGTACGCGTCGGAAGTGCCCATCCCCACGAGGGCGGAATGCTCCTGGATGTGGTCGGAGCTGTAAGACATCCTAAATTTGAGGAGGAACCAGTACCCCACGCTGACGTCGCTCTTTTGAAACTATCTCAGAATATTAAAAGTAAGTATCCGCCAAGACGAGATAATGGAAGCTTTTTTTTTGTACCCTTATAGATTCGGTGTTGGCAGTGCTAGAATAGAAAGTCCAAATACTCAGAAAATGATGTAGAGTATTTATTAAACACGTCAATTTTGAGATGTATAGCTATTATACTTTAAAGATTCCATTGTTATTGTCTAAAATACCCAGATTTTGTCACTCACTCATAGACTAATGATCAACAAAACTGTTACTGGATACTTTCTAAATTATAATTTCACCCAGAACGCTCTGTAACACCAAGTTTATTTTAATTGAAGAAATTCACATGTTGTCACAGAGTTGTCGTTTAGGATAGATCAAAGTACAGATAAAAAAATTATGAAAACTTTCTTTTTGATTTTTGATTTGATTGTAATATATATTTCGATTGTTCAGGATTCGACAGGTTCATAAATATTATAAAAATATATGAAGGAGTTGCGGAACCATTTGCGCAAAGTTTCATCTCAGTATCCGGTTGGGGAACAAACAGGGTAAAGTATCCAAAATTCACATTAAAAATAAATAGATTTTGTTAGGTTACGTCTAACTAATTTTTTGCATTGATGCATTGGCATCATCGTCTTCTACAGATTGACCGTGTGGTGACGGATTAAGAATACGAAGTGTAACCACCCCTATTCATACCGTTTGTGTCGTAAGAGCCGTCTAAAGGAGCAAACTACGCAGGACAAGAGTACTGCAAAGAGAAGGAAAACTTGAAACAAACCTATACAAATCCGTCTGGCATAGTAGGCCATAACCTCCTTTCTAAGGCTATGTCCAGCAGTGGACTAATAAAGGCTGTTGATGAATGAACTATTAAACAGGTCGAGTAGGATTTAGGTTCAATTTTTTCTGCTTGTTTCGCTCTATTTCTACACCACAAGGCTCACACAATCACATGCTGCAGTTACTTTACGTGTATTGATCATTAAAATTCAAAATATAAACATAAATAAAAAAACAGTATACGACTTTGAATGTGATTTACTCATATTTTATTTAGTAAAGATTTTCAATTTTAATTTCAATTTTCTGTAATGAATTCACTTCCAGGTTGGTAATTCAATAGACTGACATATTATCTTCTTATCTTCCTAAATATTGTAGTATACAAGGTCGAGTATTTGTAGTCATTGATATGTTATCCAGGGCACAGACACGGCGTTCAGAGATCACACTCCTGACATGGGATACGCTCGTCTCAAAGTACGCTCACAGTCTTACTGCATGGACGCCTACCAGCTTGTCAATGGCTTTCAGTTTACTGAAGACTTTTTTTGCGCTTCTCTTAGAAACGGTAGCAGGGATCTCTGTTTGGTAAGATTACTCGTATTGTTACACATTTACGCAAAAACACAATAAGGTAGCTAAGAGCTGGTACAAAAACATATCTTTATATTTATAATTTTTCTGTGCGTGTGTATGTGAACTCCTCCTAAACGGCTGGAAAAATCGGTCCAGCCGTTGATGGAATATTTTGTGTGTGTTCAAGTGGATTTGACAATGGTTTAGATTCACAATTCTGTCCATTACAAAATGTTTTTGTAGTAAATTTTTGAAGGCGTGTTTACAGGACAACGTCTATCGGGTCCGCTATTTTTACTGTAAAAATCTAGATACCTGGTGGTAGTGTATTGAACCGCTACGCTTTCCACATTATATTTTATTATAAAATACGAGCAATATGAGTAAGATACTAATAATATTCTTAAAACCGAAGGCGTATCAACACAGCTGAAATGCGTAAAATTGTGTTTAGTAATAATAAATTGACATATCTCACACAGGGTCATTTCATCCCAAACTAGGCATATCCTATACTATGGCAATTAGGCCACTGATAAACATATCTATTTGTATAGATAAATAATAATTTATCTAGATCGACTATATAATAGGTCTTTACCTATGAAATTGCCGTTTCGTATGCAATAAGTGAAAGTACTTATTTTTTGAAACTTTTTTATTTCTGTTATTCGAAGTAATCACCCATGCAATCGACGCATCTTTGCCAACGCATTGGCAGTTTATTGATGCCCTTCTTGTAAAAATCAGCTGGACGGGAGGCAACAAACTCTTCAAAGGCATTTTGTACTGCCTCTCGGGAATAGAATTTTTTACCCACTAAAAAGTTGTCTAAATTTTGGGAAAAGTAATAGTCGGTAGGTGCAAGGTCTGGTGGTCACATCTGCAACCAGCTTTGGTCAATCGGTCGTCCCCACTGCTCCTTCACGACAACGCGCGACCCCATACTGCGCAACAGACAGTCTCCAAACTGCAAGAGGTGGGGTTGGAAGCTCTCCCTCATCCGCCATACTCACCAGATTGATCACAGATGATTGCCATAAATCCATCGTTATATCCAGTAAAGATTTCAGGAAGCCATCGAGTCAATACACGACTTAATACTCTATTGTTAATGTGTTACGCGCTAATTTAGTTTGATGCAGGTGCTCCAGCTGTACAAAGGAATCGGCTAATGGGAATTATGAGCTTCGGGCCCGAACGCTGCGGTCATGAGTTCCAACCGGCTGTATTCATTAAGGCTTTCTATTTTAGGTAAGTTGATGTGACGTTGAGTTGATGAATGAATGAATGAATGTAGGTAATCACTTACCATCGGGTGACCCGTCTGATCGTTTGCCCCTCCCCCCACCATATCGTAAAAATCCACTAATATACAACTTACTTATTATTTTGAACTCTTTCATAAAGATAAGGCCTGTAAGAGATGGCCACAAAGCGATACCAATTAACTTTTTAGAGGCTTTTATTGCATTATTCTTTTACATTGCTTGAGCAGGATAAGATCACATATTACTCGCACTGACCATCATCATCATCAGCCTTTAAAATACCACTCGTTGACATAGGCCTCTCCTTATAATTGGGGAGGATCTCTCGCTACCGCCCGTCATACGCTCCATGGCCCGGTAGCGACAGTTGTTTACTGCGGTCGCATCCTTCTGTGAAGATGTCATCTCGCAGAAGAAGGAAGCGGCGGAGAGGGCCCGGGAGGATGGTCTCCACTGACCGAATGACCGAATTCGCCGCCGACGTACTGGGCGGCGGAGGCGCGCTTACCAGCGCCTCATGCCGCCCTGTGTGTGGCCGCGGGTGGACGGGACGGGTTTTTTCCTCCACCCGCAATAAGGGCCAGCCGCGAGGAGGCAACGTCCGCGTGTGCCGGACGTCGCCTAATAGAGAATGTACCCGAAGGTGGAGCCCGCCCCATGTCTTTTTATCGTGTTGACTCAGGACCTTGATTTTTATACATCTTATAGGGATCATAGACCTCAGTGCCGGGTATAAATTTCAACTTGCTGGGTTTTCCCGTTCCTGAGAAAATCGGTGGTGATACAAGGACAGACGGACAAGAAATTGATCTTATAAGGGTTCCTTTTTTACCTTTTGAGGTTCGGCATCCTAAAAAAATACCTCTCCTTATAAAGAAGGGTTTGGCCTACAATACCAGACTAGACGGGTTGTAATAGGGTTTGTACTTGGACTGACCAAAAGGTCCGAATTCTTTGGGCTTTGCAAAAGGGGCTATAAAATAAATCATAAGTCTACCGTGACCGATGAAACCTGTGTCATTGCGAAATAAGCGTGTTATGATAGCCATTGTGTTTTTATTCTGAAAAATTTATAGATATTAAAATTGAATGTTAAAGTATTGGCTAATGCTTCAGGGACTTCGTGAAATCGACTATTTCCTCATACAAGACCACAGAAGAACTGATCGAGGCAATGGCAGTTGCCCATCCGGAAGTCCGAATCCCACATGTAAAAATGTATTCTGAAGAAGAAGATATGTTGATGTTACCTGGCGAAGACCCAGAAAATATGGCCACCATGCCTGATAATATGCATGACTGAAGACACCACTATAAACTTACTAAAATCATTAATTTGCAAGTAAACATTATAATGAACTCTATTGTGTTTTAATAACAACTTAATAGTGCCGAGTAAACGTTGATATGCAGTACTTGTGCTATGGTAACTAGACTGCTGATTTACATATATATATATATTCTTAAATACTTGCATATGACTGCCTCGGTGGTGCTGTGGTAGCGTATGCGACTGCCATGCTGAGGTCTCGGGTTCGATGGTCGCGTCGGACCAAATGTTTATATGATCTGCAAATATTTGTTTCGGAGTTTGGGTGTTTTCTATGTATTATATGTCTGTATTTACGAAAAAAAAGTATATAAGTATTTAAGTATGAAACTAGATGAAGTTGAGTAAAAAAATAATTAAATAGATTATTATTATAATGAACATGGATTTGGAATTAAGGAAAGGCTTTCTCTAAGACCCGAGTAGTTTTATGGAAAAAGTAAGTAAAGTAAGCCAGATAATTAAAAAAGTTGATGATGATGACTGCTTATCATCAAATCATCAAAACAGTCCGTACAGTCATCATTTGTAAAAAGGCATTTATTGTTATATTTTCATACTGGAGAAAAAAGGCAGAAAAAAACACAAATTAGATGATTTAAATTATTATTTTAACGTCATTTAGACATCTTAATACTAATAATACCATTATATTAAACAATAATAATTCGTCAATAGTATCACAATCAGATTCCAAGTTTCAGTTTAAGTGCGGTGTGTTCCAGCTACCTACATAAAGTTTACAAAAAGTTATTTCGAAAACTTGTTGGGACGTTTACGAAATTTTTATACACAAAAAGCAACTAGGCCTGAGACTAATCTTTTTTAGTTACATTCAGTCTCTTTACATCTTTTTATCTATCTATTTGTACTAAAGGACCGTGTCCCTGTAACTATCTAACTAAATGGTTTAAAACTTTATCTTATTCGTTTCAAACGTTTTTCTTTTCAAGTATGTTATTTTAATATGCGTGCCTGTGCCTGTCCTTATGCTGCACGCACAAAATAACTCTTGTGTTCTAAATAAAAAACTTTTTTTATATTTATTTGGTGGTTTTTGCACAAAAAAGGACGCTTCTACATATATTGCATTACTTTGTGGAAAAATAAAAAAAAATAAAGTTTTCTTTTATATGCAATATGAATTATTGCATTGAAACTTTGTGAATTATTTAGCAATCGGTAATTAATCAGGGTAAATTCATAGCCGGACCCCATACCTCAGTCGTACAGTCGTACTTACATTTATGTAATTTATGATATCACAAAGCGCAATGAAATTTATTTTATTTTTCTTCTCCTAAATAAAATTCACTTAAGATTTTTTTACGTATCTTACTACTGATCACTAAAATAATAATAAATATAAAATAATTTAGTTTAAAATAATAAATAAATTAACATTTGTGCTTGCTATATGTGTATGTATTTCATCGGTAGTATAATATAAATAATATATGTCTAGATAAAGTGTCGACTACAAAAGAAACGGGCCAACTTTATTGTTTCGGTGCGTGTGCAAATCCTTCATACAGCGACAGAGGAAAGGAACTTAGTAGCCAACAGTTGGACATTAAGTTCTAAGACACCGTTTTTACATTTTATACTAACATTTTGTTGTACCTACCAAAAATGTATAAGACGTATGAAAGACAGAAAGAAAGAAAGATTAGTTTTATGTGTAAGAAATTCATATAATGATAAATTATGTCAAACACGAAGCAATCTTCAAAACAAAATTTGCCTAACCCAACAAGTTTCCGAACAAAATATTTTTTATAATCGACTCATTTCTTCACCGCGTTCTACATTTTTTTTCCTCTTTTCCTTCTTTCTATTATCTTCTAGAAGAGCGTAAATCTCTTGCACTGTTTTGTTTTTCGTTTCCGGCACCCACATGATGGTGTAGAAAGTGCCAAGGAAGCAGACGGCGGAGAACATCATGAAGACCCAGTGTATTCCTAACAGTTTCAGCAGAGGATCGTAAGCTTTTGTTTGGAGGAAGTCGCTGAGAGCGCAGATAGAACTAGTCATGGATGTTACCATGCCTCGGTGCTGTAAAGAAAAAATATTTATTAGAAGATAACTACTTGTAGGTATGATAATAACTGCATTCTTTTTTATGGATTTATATTTTTAACTTCCCTTGATCATAATTTAAAGTGTGTCTAGAATTTTTTATGTATATACTTAATAAATACTTATGTATTGTATGTTTTAGTATTATTGTTTATTAAAAATTATTCTATTGTAATTAATATACGAGTAAGTATTCTGGGTATATGACATCCTATATATGCTATATAAAAATGCTATGCTTTCATAACATCACATTTTTAATTTCTTCTGTGCATCTACCATGTTTAGCTCTGCATCGCCCTAAGGTTGACTGCCCTAAGGTTTATTGCCCTAAGGCATTAAGTTCGCCTTTGTCACATTTGTGCATAAAGTGTAAATAAATAAATAACAGGACATATATAGTGCATTTCAACGGTAGCTCTTCATCTTACCTAAAGTTGCATAGTAAATCGGGGTTTTTGGTCGCTAAGGCTACCACTGTTCAGAAGGCCTAGTGCAAGTTTATTTCACATCGACTCACTCTCGACAGCAAGCCAGGTCGGCGTTGCGATTGGTGAAGATTTCAATGCGGGCCAATCGCAGCGACGAAGCGGTCATCGTGACGGTCATGTAGAAGTGAAATAAACTTACACTAGGGCCTCTCAATGAAGTGAGTTTATTTTAAATCTACTTTCTTGAACATAATATTCTAATATAATTAAATAAATATATTAGACATCAATAGGTTCTAATTTACTTACAGAATTTGATTCCTTATTGAAAAACCTAATTTGTGTTGCTTAAGAATCTTAAAAATAGAATGCCTAGTATTCTTATATACTTTATGGAGATACTTTACTTTTTTGTACTTCTAAACACTTGGTAGTAAATTGACTTCAAAGAAAAGTATTTGTTTGTTGTATAAATTATTTACTGTTTAACAATAATTTCGGTTTTAAGAAGAGTTCGTCCCAAAAAAAGCTGGACCATTATGATTCCTGACAGACGGATTGTCTTCAACTATGGACATATAAGTAACTTATTAATTTATGCTAAATTTTACCTGAAAGGTGAACAACTCCGATGTAATAATGTATGGCACAGGTTGATACCCTGCGGCATCCGCGAAAATGCACAAGCACATGGCGAGTACGGGCAGCCAGCCCGGCAACCAGATGTTCATGGAGGTGATGTAAAACCAGAGTCCAAGGGTCAGCATTGACAGTCCAGTTGCCAATGATGTTCCAGCGAGAAGCCACTGAAAATGAACGAAAGTGCAATTACAGTTTTTGATATCATTTAAAAAACGGGCAAACGGGTCACCTGATGGTAAGTGATTACCGCCGCTCAGGGATATCTGAAACTCGAGAATCATCATCATCATCATCATCAACAGCCTTTAATAGTCCACTGCTGGACATAGGCCTCTCCGTAGAAAGGAGGTTTTGAATCACAAGTGCCAAAATCAGGGGGTTTGAGCTCCCACGGTGGTACATCTTTGTTTGTAGCCAGGAAACTAAAACCCCATAGTATATACATTGTAAAAAAATGGACACGTGTTTATAGATAGCTTTTTTGTATTTTTTTTATTTTTTAATTCATACATTTTTATCTAACATTTGGCTTCTATGAAACTTTATTTTGAGTTGACTCTAAACTTAACTCTACTCTTTTTTGTATATCTACAAATTACACTTAATAACGTGACTTTGACGGGTCGTTTATTTAGTGTTTGGTGATCATGACTGCTGGGACAGAGGTCATGTCAATTTCATTTTGACTGCACGGATGGCGTAGTGGTTTAAGCGGTCGCCACGCCGCTTCCTATTGAGCTGAGTGTTGTCGGTTCAAACTCCACATGGGATAACACTTTGTGTGATCCACAAATTGTTGTTCTGAGTCTGGGTGTACTTTGTGTCCGTTTCATGTTGTGATCCACAAATTGTTGTTCTGAGTCTGGGTGTACTTTGTGTCCGTTTCATGTATGTTTGTAAAGTCCCCCGCGACACAGGATTTATTCCTAGTGCGGGAGTTGTCTTTAAAAAAGGGTTAAGGGGTTAAATGGATTTGAAACCCTCTTAAGGCGTAAAATTGTGTTATGTGCACAATTATACGTTTTGTGTCTGGGTGCAATTCATCTATAATATGTATGTATTTAATAATATGTAAATATTTTTATCAGCAATCTGGCTACAATAGTTCTGGCTTTTCCTAGTTCGAGTCTTGTCTCTAGTTAGAAAAATAAAGGTAAAAAATTAAAGAAGGAAAATTCAAATATTTGCATTCGATTCCATTCCGTAAACTGTGACCTGTGACACTGTTACAGTAACCCATTTTTTATGCAGCTCTGTATTTTATAAAAAGATCTTACCTTTCTTCCAGTTTTTTCCACAATACAACTGGCAACTATGGACCCTAGCATTTGTATGACGCCCACCACGATCGTTTGCTTGTTGGGGCTGAGCTTCAAGCTGATGGACTCGGAAGCCTGTTCGAAGATCGACCCAGCGTACATGAGGACAACCAGATAGCCGCAAGTCTCTTGAGACAACATTACGTTCGTTGCTATGCGGAGGGCTTTGAATGTGGTTTTGTTTTTAACTGAAAATAAATAAAAAATGGTTTGAAAATAAATAAAACTGAATTTAACTACAAGAAATTGCTATTGTTTTTTACTACGTTTTTATTTAACTATTTATTTATATCTATTTTTATTTATATATATGACGAATATATCATTTTCCAAGATTTTCTTGTCATACATTTTTTGAGAAACTAAACTTTGCAGTTTTAAAAACACTCACCATTATATATATATATATATATATATATATATATATATATATATATATATATATATATATATATATATATCATCTACCATTACATATACATTACACTCCGATAAATCACGTAAACTAAACCGAAATAAATCGTTCATTTTATAAGTTAAAATTCTAGTGTTCATCTATTGAAATTATCAAGTACAAAAAATAAACGTATTACGTATTATACTGACAATAAACTCACAACAAAACTGAATCCAGTCTTAACACATTTAAGACTGGATTCTGTCAAATTAATATTTTCTTAATCATTTATGACTGATTTACATTTGAAAACATCGTCATACTGTCTAAATTATTTTAATGAACGAATGAAATTACCGAATAAATTCATAAAACATTTATGGTATAACTTGCTATTGCAGACTGATTTAGATGTAAATACATATATTGTCTGTAAATAATTATATCTTCAAATATTTTATTAAAGTAAAAAAATGTATAATGACTGTTTATTAGTTGGACAAGGCAATTTTAACAAAATCCGTCAAATCTTACAATTGTGAAGGAGCAACAAATACCTGACTGTCTCTTTAAACTGCAAAGAAAAAACACTGTTGCGTATATTACAGATTTTAAATACCCTGATAAGTCGGTGTTGTCGAAACCTATAAATAATATCAGATGTCGCTTCTTCGAGATCTTGTTTTTTGTTCACGGGTCATCACTTCGCCGGGGCTAACGGTCAAGTTGGGAGACGATACAAAAAAAACCATACGGTTTACCGTTACCGTAAGAAGGAAACTCCCGAGAAGCGGAGAGCTCGCTACAGCCAAATTATTTAAATTCAAATGATTTAGGTTTTATAATATAATTATGAATACTGTTAATTACAAGTATCTGCCTATATTGAAAAATAACTTTGCCTTCCCCCTCGATAAGTGAGAACGTATGGTAAAACGTTGTGGAGCCAGTTTTACAACAACCGGTTGCAAGTCTCGTATTAATCTTATTTAAATGGTTGACATGAAATACTGCACGCCACGGGATATAAATTGTTTGAGTTTATTTTGTGAATTCAATCTTTTATTGTAAATGATATTTATAAGGTTACATAAAATAATATAAAGGTACATTACAAAGAAGGTGCTAAGTAATATAAGCAAATGTAAGTATAAGCAAATGAGAGTTTGTTACAAGTACTCAAACAATTTAGATCACACGTTTTATCCAGAAAAATCTACTGAAAATTGATTTTGATACAAGTAGACAAAAAAAGTTTAAGTTAAGCTTGAGTTAAGTAATTAAATGGTTCCGGGTACTCCTCTATACGGTGCAGTCAGTGATTAGGTAATTATTGACAGCCCTAGTCGTTAAGTACTGGTGCAGTTCGTGAGGTTGTCGCTCGTTACAGTTCAAAAGCAAATTACAAGTAATTGGAAACAAAGAGGTAAACGTTTAGCAGACTTTACATAACGGTTTATTCCCTAAATAATGGTACTGGAGTTTTCTTTATCTTATATATATTCTTTCTAGAAAATTCTCGTGTCACAATGTTAGTTGCCATACTCCTCCGAAACGGCTGTACCGATTTTTATGAAATTTTGTGTGCACCTCGGGTAGGTCTGAGAATCGGCCAACATCTATTTTACACCCCTAACTTTTTTTCAATATTGCCTAGAAATAATGTATATGGCAAAACAACGTTTACCGGGTCAGCGAGTACTTATCTAATTGAAAGTAACGATGAAGAATAGTAGACGTCTCAAAGAGAAACCTACTTATTTACTGTAATGATTAAAAAGGAGTTTATTTCGATATTATCGTGCTTCAACAATTTTATTGTATGCGTTTATTAAAATATATGTATACATATCCATTTGTATAATTGAATCAATTTCCGTATAAACATAGTTGTGCAGCGCGGTCTGCCCCATTTCTTATACATGATATATCTATCCATAATTATTTATAAAATTATTTTTCATAATTATATAATGTATGAGATAAATGATATTTATTTCTGCAAGTAAATCTTTTCAGATATTTTTACAAGTCGGACTTTACAGCTAGAAGGCGTCGGCATTTCCTAAGACTCACTCTGGGAAGAAACGCCGAAGCAAACCACAGAGGTGTCTTCTTTTTAAAGTTGATGTACAGTGTTAAAGACAATTATGTGAGGGCAGTATAGGGCCTAGGTTACTAGGCCTAGGTAGGCATATTAAATCCATTCAAAGGTGGCATAAAACTGATCACAGTCGCTATTGTAGTACTAACAGCTTATTTAACCATACATTAAATATGCCTACTGACTGCGGATGTTATGCTCAGTCTTTAAATTGAACAAATCGCTTTTAAGATGTGTAATTATGGCTATTGCATCGCGTGCCACCCTTTATTACAAGTACAGAGTAAATGTGTGCAGGCTCGAAGGACCAGACCGACCGGTGAGAACATTTCTCAGAAACGGCAACAGCCTCTCAAGTTAGTTGATATGTCAGCCTTTAAATATGCAAAGATACTTGAAGCGGATTTTAATTGAGGTTTCGATTTTATTGACGATTATTTTGATGTTTTCCTTCTCAAAGTTTGATGAAATACAGATTACTATCATATGTCATGGGAATGTAAATCGTTTCGTTATAATTAATTAGTGTGTATTTTTTTCGGAAAGGTACTAGAAGATAGTAACCTGGCACTAGATACTTATAGAGTCAGTATTAGCCTAAATAGGATTAAAGTGGTACATGTGAAACCAAGGCAAATTACCTCAAATGTTTTTCAAGAAAGTAACCAATCCACAGTGTGCGAGTCGTCAATTATTGTACCTTAGGGGTACAATAAGTTCTATACAGTGTAAGTTCTGCTTAATCTTTGTACTTAACTCAATTATTGTAAGGAAGACTTGTTATTGTCTCCCTGTTAACTAAAGTAATTTCTACTCTTGTTGTTCTAGTTTTATGTGGCTGTAAGTCTTTAATACTATTAGGAAATAAATAAATAATGATATATTTATTTTGTACTTAATTGTTAAATACAGTATTGTACATCTATACTAATATTATAAAGCTGAAGAGTTTGTTTGTTTGTTTGTTTGTTTGTTTGTTTGAACGCGCTAATCTTAGGAACTACTGGTCCGATTTGAAAAATTCATTCAGTGTTAGATAGCCCATTTATCGAGGAAGGCTATAGGCTATATATCATCACGCTAAGACCAATAGGAGCGGAGCACCAATGAAGAATGTTTCAAAAACGGAGAAAATTTATTACTATTGAGAGACGCAGACGAAGTTGCGCGGGTCAGCTAGTAATAAATAAAGAGATAATAGAGAGTCATAATTTATACAATGGTAATTTTTTAAATATCGTTTGCTTTGGAATTTAGGTTGGAATGTCAATTTGCTGGTGATTTGTTAGGGCATTTAGGGTGATATTGATAAAATAAAAAGAAAACAAAAAAAAAGTCCTTACTTATACTTTTCCAACTAGCTTGCTCCATACTCTTGACCTCTTCTTCTTCCCTCTCCAACTGCTGTATAGTTTCTTCTAAATCTTTATTGTCTATTGTGGTGTTCCGAAGCCATGCAAGAGCTGCGCGTGCCTCCTGCAAAAGATATTGAAGATTAATATCGGGTAATGCACACACAATTCTAAAGATAATATTTTTATTAAAAAGTAAAAGGTGCTCTGGACTAACGTTTAAAAAAAAAGATTTTAAATAACGATGGTAGAATTATTACATAATTAGAACGAAACAATAACTCAAATATTATGTTCATGTTATATTATTTAGTTAGATTCTAAAATGAAAATAAATTAAACAACAATAAATTTATTATCTAGTAATTACAAACATAATTGCATATTTCCGGTAGCACTGCACTAGCCTAGCAAGCCTGTTCTATGAGTGCCTGATACGCTTACAATTTTTCAATCCATTTCTATTTTAGCTTAACAATAATGAGTAAAGTTTTACAAGAATAAGTAGAGATTTGTATATTTTGTATTAAGGTAGGTATATTCGGACTTCATATGCAAAGTCATCGCGACAAAGGCATGTTTCAAGTAATTTTAGTTTTTTTCTTTCTTATGGAACTTAATTTCATTTTATTCTTGGAAGGTTAGAGTTAGCTTTGCTTATTTTGCTTACACTTAATAATCTTTTCTATTTTTGTTTCTTTAAAAAAGACAACAGCATTAGGAATATATTTTTTGTCGCGGGGGACTTTACAAACATACATGAAACGGACACAAAGAACACCCAGACTCAGAACAACAATTTGTGGATCACACAAAGTGTCGTCTCATGTGGGAATCGAACCTATCATACTTAGCGTAGCAGGAAGCGGCGTGGTGACCGCTTAAACCAGTACTCCATCCGTGCAGTCAAACTCCAGCGTTATAAGTAGACTTGCAACGAATAGTATATTCGGCAGTATACCGAATACCGAATATTCGGCGAGGCCCCTGACCGAATAGCCGAATATTAGGCAAAAGTATTCGGCTGGATTTTAGCGCCAAAAACTTGTACAGACGTGAATTAAATTATGTACCTGTTTTATGTACCAATGACTACTTAATAAATGATTATAAAAGAAATGAGAACCTTACCCTTCTAAATTTTGATTACCACAATAATTATAATACATAGAATCCTCTATTTTTCCAATTCAGAAGATGATTATGTACCTGTGTTATGCACCAATGACTACTTAAATGATTATAACAGAAATGAAAATATGAATATATACGTAATCAATCGATTTTAATTTTTCATTTTACCAATTATTTCTCTATGACAAAATATATTATTTAAGTATTCGGTATTCGGCCGAATATAATAAAAGCAGCCGAATATGCCGAATACCGAATAGCAACCGAATATTCGTTGCAAGTCTAGTTATAAGCTATTGTTATTGAGGTTATTTTTTATTCCTATCATAACATCATCATTTGCTCATCTAATTCGTAAATTTCTCTGTTAACAGCAATACGTTTGCCAATAATTACATAACTGATTAAAATGACAATGAGCAAAATGGAGCATATAATACACTTACCCCACCTACCCCTACAACCTACCCCTTCGGGGATATAGGCATGAGTGAATGTGTGTCTGTTTTACCTAATCAGAATTTGTGTAACAATTTTAGCACCAGATCTAACTTTTAATAGTGAGATAACAAGTTTTAGATGTATACCTAATGACGTAATGACTAAGAAAATTCCAAGAACATGCTTTTAATTTAACAGCATACAAACATAAACACAAATATCCTTATTATTGTTGCCTTTTATTTTCAAGGCTAATTTCGTGGAATGATTTTAAATTATGTACGAAACCGCCTGTATGTAACTAAAACACACTTAATATATGTAGGTACACCATTATTAAAAATGTTACAATTTGATGTTGAACAATTTGTATTTATAATATTAAATACTTTCATAAAAGCACGCAAACACACAAAAACAGCAAACTATTTCATCTACGCTCTATTTCATTCATACCACATTAAAAACCGTTAGTTTTGTTTGTTTGTTGTAATGTTCCTTTAATCGTATAGTGTACTTCGTAAACACACGGTGTTTTATGTACTTTTGTGTAGCAAAAATAAATGGTTTTATTGGTTTTATGTTAATAATAACTAAAATCTTCTAGGTCAGTAAATTTTAAGAAGAGACTGAGGATCTGCATACCTTCTTGTTACTGAAGGAGGTCATAAGGCAATCCTTCGCACAAGGCCTAGGAAGGAAGCTAAGGTATTTTTCCCTAACGCATCTAAGAAGGTAATATATCACATAAAAAATTTAATGGTTTCTTTTCCTTATGTCTGTTTTAGATCAAAACTACGAACTCTTTTATTTAATTTCGGCTATGTCCTTAAAGATTGCCTGTTAGATATTGCTTTTAGGGAGCAAGTATCGTCAGGAATCGCAGCTTCGACTTTCTTTTAGTCCAAATATTTGTATGTTTACGTCAATAAACATATTTGTTTAATTGGCTTGATCTAAGCGAGTTTACGTGTTCTATCTAGAACACATGGTACACGCTTTACTAAGCTTTGGTTTACTAGTTAAACCTTGTTGTGTGTTTCAAAATTTATTTCTAAACATGTTGAAATATTATAACAGCGAAGTCAAAGTAAAAACTGTGCCTTAAACTTAAGTGTCATGAGCAAAATTTATTGTCTTCAATCTAAGAATTAAAATATTCACCAAACCAAAGCCTGATTTCTTTGCATATATATAGATAATATATGCATTGATCTAATCCGCGATTTTCTAGAACCTTTTTATCTGGACTTCCCAGCGTAGAGGGAAAGTCCTCATGTGTCCATTAACATAAGAAATACCGCTAAAAGTAATATTAGCACCGGCCTCAGTAAAACGAGTTTGAAGATATTCTAGAGAGAACGGAACTTACAAACTTTTAAGCGTTGGGTTTTGTTTTATAAGGACAACATGAAATATTATAAAAGCAAAAACGTGCGCTTGAAACAAAAGACATACAAAAGTAAATAAAAATGTCACTACAGCGTCTTTTTTGTGTTAAGCATAATTTTTGTGAGACGCGAGATAATTATAGTCGACTTGTACTCGATTATGAAATTCTCATTGAGGGTTGTCTGAAGCACAAATCATTATATTTTTACTTTTGCCATAGAGCACTTGTGTAAAAAAACCACAAAAGTGAAAGAGATGTTCTTACCAGAGTCTTGCCTTGCTTAATCAAGAAAACTGGAGTTTCAGGCATGAATATGAATCCCAACATAAATATAGCAGGAACCGCCGTGCAGATCCACAGCACTGCCCCGAAAGACATCAAGTCACCAGCAACGTATACCACTAAGTAGCCTAAGTTTTGAGACAGGATGAAGAGGGACCCAAGAGCACCGCGGATATTGTCTGATGCTATCTGGAACAAAAAGTTTTTATCAGATATTGTTACAAAATCGAACCAAGTTACAGGTTAGTAGGAGTCTTTGTCTGTATAATAGACCAACACACAAGTTTTATCCAAATCATCATTCTTCGTAGAATAAAACGAGACTTGGCAAAAATACTTGTATATTTCTAAACACATTACAACACATACATATTACCGATAAATTAAAACCGAAACGGAACCAATTATCATCTTTATCATACAGTATATATATTAGTCGTAAGGAAAGTTTAACCCACGATCTCTGGCGTCAAAACCAGTAACCACAACTCCAACAGGCCAGACGTTGTCGTAGTACAGGTTCTATCTATTTTGAGATCAGAACGTCGTATGTGAGATGTGTCAAGTTAATTTAAGTTATTATAACATGCACTTCCTCACGAGTGGTTACGGTGGTCATTCTTCTGAGAGTCATATATATTTTGGTTGATCAACCAATAACCTCATTGAAAATACCAAAAAATTCTGTTAGATAGGTTAAAGGCATGACGCAACAAGCAGATGTCATCCTTACGACAGTATAGTCAGGAGTCTGGATGTCTTAATAAAAGCTGTTCCCGGATTCCTCCTACTTTAGGCACACTCCTACAGTATGGCACACTTATGGAAAAGGTATACCTTTTCACTATAGTGTCCTCAACGAAGTTCCTGCTTCTTATATCTGTTTTTGGTTCCACCAAAGCCATTGCGGTAGTATTGTAATATGTATTGTGTAATATTAAATGAATAAGCTTGTCCTCCTCTAGTTTTTGTATCTGAAATAGTCTGGTGAGTCTGGCACTTTACCTAAACTTAACATTTAACAAATAACTTCCTTATACTTCAGCCTATTGCTGAACGAAGGCTTCCCCCAAAGAGCTTACTAACTAAAACTAACTTACTTCCTTACTAGCTTGAAAATCATTTTAGCTACCTTCATTAATTCTTAGTCAGAAATTTTAGCAAAATAACGGTCCGTTCTAAATAATTTCTATAATATGTTAATGATTATAAATATGAACTAATTATAATACATTTAGCCGGAACTATGGTTATGTAACTCGTAAATCTGATAAGTATGCACATCCTGTCCGATAGGAAACTATGGACCATTCAAAACTGAAGGTTAATTACAAATGTCACAAGCCGCCTTTTATGTCATCCAAACGCATTATAAAGTCACCAAATATAATTGAAGTTAAATAAGCTGTTGAATGTAATGATTCACGTCAAAATATGCATACACATACACTCATACATATACAATAATAGTACTCCGTAAACCTACTCCTGGGTCGCAATTCCCAGGCGCTGTCGTAGTCGCATGTGTTACCGGCACCCGCACGAGTAATCCATGGAAAGCTAAGAAATAAGTCTATACACACATACATATACCTACACTCATACATATACGCTCACGTCGTCATCGCCGAAGCTTTGACAGAGGTGTATTAGACGACCATATTTTGCCGAATATGAAAGTGATCAATTCACGTTTGTGGGCAAGTTGAAAAGGAATGTGGTGTTTAGAAGAATTAATAGTGTATTAGTTAATAATATCATGCTACAAACTTTAACTTAAACTTGATGTTACACAGCCTTACAACCTATTTTCAATTTTATTTTTATAATGCTCTTATAAGCTTCACTTGTTGTGATTTACTAACAATATAGACAAACTTTGTAACTCAATTGTAGGAAACCTTAATTCTATAAATCGTATGGAACTGAAGCTTTTTTTATATACATATACAGTAAACAATATTATAATAAATTTAACCACCAGCAGTAATAGGTGGATGGTGGACCACCTCAGTGATTGATTTATTTTTGGTAATTCGTTTGACGAGTCTTATGTTTCTTGGGTTCATGTTTATCTCCTAAAACCACAGAATTATGCAGAAGTTATTTCCCTATTAATCAGAAGAAAATATCAGAATTAAATAATTTCAAGTTTTTTCCCCTTAACCTGAGTAGTGTTGCTCACCTACCTATCACTCATTCTCAATGACGTAGGATATTGGTCAAAATAGTGACGTTAATTACGAGTATTAACCACTACAATGAAGTGTTATTGTAAAATAAATAACTAGTACATAATTGGCAGAATGGCTTACAAAAAAGACGTGTGACACTCGGGGACTGCCGCGGTAAAGCTATTGCATAGCATTTTTTTATCAACTTATGCAATTCGATTTTTTTTTCCTTTGTTTTTTTTTCTTTGATATTAATTAGATTGCGGAGCGAAGAGGGGGATTACGCATGCGCAGTAACGCCGATACAACCAATGCCACCTAGAGGCGAGTTGCTGAACTAAAGAGACAAGCGTGATATTTCAAAAAAGTCATTAATAGTTCTGCTATTCATCGATAAATGGCAATACTAAAAAGTATCACGTGGGGTGTGTTAGGTTATTTTCGTTACGGAATTTCTGGATTCGGTCTCCACGCTCAAGGCCCGCGATAGAAGCTATGCAATAGCTTAAAAACAAAATTAATTAAACATTCATTGTGACGATTGTCGACGGAGTAGGGTTTAAACACATCAGTTTCACTCGCGAACTATTTCATGTATTTATTAGACAGAGGAAATAACAAAGTTGATAGCTGATTTTTATCAACAAGTACCAAAAATATTTATTTAGGGTCCTGACGACATATAGGCATGTGATTCATTGCTTCCTGGCATTAATTAGCACTGATGTTGGCGGCGATGGTGAGATCTTGGAATTGATTTCTGACAAAATGTTATTGAATTTATATTGTCAGAAATTATTACTAACAGCGTGGAACTGTAAAAGTGGAGATATCTTCTGCTATCCTATTATAGAGGTAGGTCAAAGTTTTAAAAAGCAATAACACGTATGTTTCTACCTGAATGAGCAGGTCAACTTTAAATTACATAAGTTTTTGATACTGAAATAATAAGTAAGGCATAATATATCTACTTGAAATTACAGATAATAATAAAAAACTGTATTAGTCAGTATAATACGACTCTAGCCTTTAATATGTAGATTGCCACAGATTATCAGTTCTACCAAAAACTGCAAATTTAATTGTAACTAGAAATGCATAATTTTAAACTGGTTATTCACTATTAACGTGTCATATCCCTCCCTCCTATCGAACACGTCTGCCATGCTTTTGAATACCGTCCATAGTAACACGCAGAGATATCGCCGATGCTCTGTTTTTTACATATTAGTAAGATACAAGATTGACTCTGCTCACTTACTAAATCTTATTAGATACATCACACCACAAGTATTCTCAAGCATAGGCTGAGTGCGTACTCTACATAACAAAAATGACTTTAATTCTATCCTGTATACTGACACTAACCACACCACTAATGGGTAGTGGTGTGGTTAGTGTCAGTGGGAAAATAATACATACTCCATTACTTTTTCGTTGGTCTTACCTCTTTCAGGTACAAAGGTATGACAACGTAGCACCCAGCGCATGCCAGTCCAGATACTGCTCGAGACGTGATGAGAGCCCACGGACGGAGAGAGAACAGGGTTATAGACCAACTTATCTGTAAGAAAAAATTAGGATAATAAATAACACTGAAAATTAAGTTAACGGGTAAATCTATACATTTTATTCAAATAAATAAAATTGAAGTGTCTGTTTGTAATATCAAAATAATAGGTTTTATTTCTTGCCCATACGGTCATTTGCACGATGCCTATTCCTAAAAACCAGTTTAAATTTTTTTGTCTGTCTGTTTATCCGTCAGTCTGTCTGACTGTTTGTTCTCTGTTATCTTCAAAACGGCTGAACTGAGAACTGCTTAACGTTGGTTTCCTGTGAAGCC